AGCTGGCCGAATTTTCCCAGGACTGAGGGGCATCTGGGGATTCAGGAATTTCAGTGCTGACACCCTGCATGTCTGCGTGTCCCTCCACCCCGACACTACGCGGCTGCACTGCGGGCTGCCAGGCTGTCGTGTCCCATGTCCTGGCATCATAACTACCATTGACTGAGCACCAGCTGTGTGCCCCGTGTATCCAGGAAACCTTTCAGGAGGTGTAAAAGGATGAGACCGTCTAGGGAGGTCCAGCTTCTGGTGTGAACAGTCAGTACTCTCCCCCTGCAGCATCTCCTCCCTGATGTGAATGCCTGTACCTACAGGCCAGTGACTCAGGAGGGAGGGACCCAGCCTTGCCCTAAGAAGAGGTTTCCAACATGCCTGGGGAGACCGGATCCACTCCACCAACTGTCAGAGGGCAGCTGAGGCCAGAAAGGGCTCCAGGACAGGATGCGGGCTCAGCCTTCTGGCCCAGAGGAGGGAGGTCAGTGTGGGTGGGGGCAGTCAGAGAGGGCCTCCTGGAGTAGGTGGGGCGGTGAGAGGAGCCTGCGGTGACTCACGCTCAGGCCGTCGCACAGGCCAGCGGCAGTGCTGGGAGTGTCTCAGCCAAGGAGTGGTGGGAGCCACACGTGGTGGGTGGAAGGAAAGAGGGAGGAGGTGGTGGCAGTGGGATCAGACGAGTCCCACTTGGAGCCAGGAAGCCCATCCCAGGGCAGTGACTGTGGAGATGGAGGCCTGGTGTTTGCTGGAGTTGGGGGATAGTGGCCAGTGTCCGAGGAAATGATGTCAGGAGGAGCCGGTTTGAGAGCCCCCAAGAACTCTCAGGAGCCAGCAGAACTTAGGGAGAGATGCACGTGGTAATCCGCTGATGGACTTGGAACAGGATGGAGTAAGGGCTCCTTAGAGCTTAAGTGACAGAACAGCGGAAACTGGCCCAGGAAGAGGGATCAACTGGAAGACGTTGACCCAGCCTAGGGAGCAGGTGAAGATGTTGGTGCAGATGGGGAATTTGGTACAAATGGAGAAGCTGGTATAAATGGAGTTGTTGTTATTGTTTAGTCGCTCAGCCATGTCCACCTCTTTGAGACCCCATGAACTACAGCATGGCAGGCCTCCTTGTCCTTTACCATCTCCCAGAGCTTGCTCAAACTTATGTCCATTGAGTCGGTGATGCCATCCAACCATCTCATCCTCTGTCATCCCCTTCTCCTCCTGCCTTCAGTCTTTCCCAGCATCAGGGTCTTTTCCAGTTGAGTCGGCTCTTTGCATCGGGTGACCAGAGTATTGGAGCTTCGGCTTCAGTACTTCCAATGAATATTCAGGACTGATTTCCTTTAGGATTGACTGATGTGATCTCCTGGCAGTCCAAAATGGAGAGACTGGTTCAAGTAGAGAGACTAGTACAGGTGGAGAGACTGTTGCCAGTGGAGAAGTTGGTGCAGATGGAGAGGCTGTCCTGGGTGAGGGTGCGAGTCATGAAATGCTGGCATCTAGAAGAGTATGACCTTTGTGTGAGCTTTGAATCAAATCTGGCACCGGCTCCCCCACATGATGGAGTTGTGAGAGACAGAGGCCCCCTGTACTTCCCCAGCCAGAGGTGGGTCCTTCTGACAAAGCTGAGGGCCTGTGCGCCTATGCCAGAGGGTATGGATTCTGGGGTGTCCTCAGGTCTGCTCTGACGTCTCCTTACCCTGGTGTCACCGGAAAGCTTGCAGCCGGGGCTCAGCCAGTCTCAGCCTCAGGCTCAGCAGGGCGTGGGCCCCGAGCTTCTGAGGGAAGGGCAGGGCCAGAGGCAGGTGCAGGCAGCGGAGAACAAGAGAGAAAGCGGATCCCACCCGCCCACAGTGGGCCGCCTGTGGGGACCCAGAGACAAAGCATGCTCTTGGCAGGTTTACTTTGGAACCTGAAGCTGCCCTGCTGCTGGGGAGCCGGGAACTTCCTCTGGAATCTGGTTTCACAAACCACCAAGCTCCAGGGGTTTGGTTCCCTGCTGGAAGCCAGCTGGGGAAAGATCCTTCCCAGGACCCAGGGCCCAATTGTTGGTGCTTCGTGGTTACTTTACTAGATGATATCTAACAATGGTTCGAATACATGTGCATGCTCAGTTGCTCAGTCGTGTCTGATTCTTTGCGACCCCATGGACTGTAACCAGGCTGTCTGTCCATGGGATTGCCCAAGCAAGAATACTGGAGTGGATTGCCATGCCCTCCTCCAGGGGATCTTCCGACCCAGGAATTGAATACGCATCTCTTGCATTGCAGGTGAATTCTTTACCACCGAACCCCCTGGGTAGCCTCAGTTTTAAAGTGGCCATGGCATTAATGATATTTGAGATATTGCAGCCCCTGTCATGGACAGGGAAACAGCTGCATTTCTGTTGGTCACTGGTAATGCTGGTCCTTCCATTTTGCTGCCTATATTCATATGGAAGGAGATGTTAAGTTTCAGGTAGAGGTTAATTTGAGAATGAGATGCAATCCCCTCCCCCGAATTTTTTCCCCATCACTCCAAGAGGTCTGTTAGGTGCCTCTGAACACAGAGACAGAGCTGGTCTCCTGACTGTTAGCAGTCAGGAGGATGGTTATTCAGTTGGGGAGTGAAGGGGAACTAGAAATTACCTATTTCAGAGGAACTGGAAGTTACCTATTTCCTGACCTGGATGCTAGATACTGGGTGAGTTCACTTTGTGGAAATTCATCCACATGTGTGTACACTTAGGATGTGGACACCAATCTGCATGAAAAGTTGATTTCAATACAAATTTTACAAACACTTTTACTGGAACAGATGTATATGCAGGTGCAAGCTTGCACGCACACACACACACACACACACACACACACACACACGGTATGTGCCAGTAAAGACTCCATAGGTCCATGGGCATCCACGTGTCTCCAGAAACCTTGCAGGCGTGTGGACACAGATGGATACAGTGAGACAGAGAACACTATTTTTAGGAAATAATTCCAGGCAAGAGAGGAGGTTTCCTGATTTATAGGACTAGGGATTGCTCAGAGTGAAGAGGATTGCCCTGCAAGGAAGGGCTGCTGGCATCCAGGCTGGCTTCTTTCTTTAAAAAAATAAAAAGAATAATGAGTTTATTGTTTTTGTAAAAGTAGCACAGAATCATCATAAATATTTCAAGAACTGAAGAAGAGCACGAGGAAGAAAGTTTAAAATTACCTAAATTCCCATCAGCCATGGGAAAAAAATCACCATTCACGTTTGGTGATAAGTATTACATACAGTTGCCTGTCTTTGTGCTTGCAAAGATGGAGGTAGAGAGGGACAGCCTTTGATTAAAGGGGGACCTGCTCCTTCACCTGCCCTTTTCAACAAGGATATCCCTTTAACTTTACTGGAGGGAAAGAGAAGAGCAAGTAGCTGAAGGACGGGTGGTTCTGACAGCATCCTGGGACCTCTCTCCTCTGGCTTCCCTTCACACATTCCACGCCATGCCTCCCCCGGGACCAGAGGTGCCCTTTGGAGACTTGGCTGTGTTGTGTTTGCTCACTGTTTACCTGTCACCTGGCCAGGCGCCTACTTCACGGTGCTTGGGGCCCCGGCCCTCGGCGGGGTATGCGCAGGGGTCAGGGTGGCGGCCGCTTGTTGGGGTCAGCAGTGACGTGTGTCAGGAGTCAGATCAAGGCCAAGCCGATCTTTGACGGAAAGGGATTTTGTCCTGGCAGAGACCTCCAACAGGTGTCCGGCCCTGCCTGGGTTTGATGTGGTCATTAGCGACACGGCCTCCCCCTCCCATTGGCTGAGGTGTCCCCCTGGGGAGCTGGGCTGACCACATCCTGTTTTGGTGGGGCGGTCGGGCACACATTGTCCAGCCTTGGTGTCAGAGTCAGAGCCTGTTCACACCAGGTCCTGGATCATCTGAGGCCACTGGGGGCCACATTCTCCCCGGATGGCGTCACATGCTGGACATCCTAGCGGAGGCGGGGTTACCGTTTTCTGGTTCTGCTATCTCTCGGGGTTTGTTCAGACTCAGGGGGAGGGGAGCGAGTGGAGGCGTGGGGGAGTCTGGGATGCTCCGTCAGCATTTCCCACCTCTGGAAGGCTGTCTCCCTCGGGGATTTCCTTGAGATCCTCTGGTGGGGTGGGCTCTGAGGCAGCTGTGTACGCCAGGTTGCCAACATCTGGATGGCAGCTGCCAAATTGTTACCCAGCTGTTTTCCCAGACCTGCAGGACTTTCCTGGGCCTCTGTCAGCAGATCCAGATGCCCCAGCCATTGCCAGATGTTGGCACCTCCGTGCCCCGGGTGAAGTCTGGGCACCCTCCCCTGCACAGGTACACGGTGGGAAGACCAGACAAACTGCCCCCCGCCCTCTGGTCCCACCACTCAGGCCAGAGAACTGCCTGGAAAAGAAGCCCAGGGTTCGTACACTGGCCCGGAAGGCTTCTAATCACCGTTGCAGGGTCCCAGGGTGTCCTGTAGAAGAGGCAAACTGAGAGGAAGGCAGCACCGGGTACCTTCTAATGCGCCTGCCAGTCGCCTGCGTGTTCATCATTCATCCCCTCATTCATTTGTTTAGGACTAGTCCTGTGAGAGATCTGGGAGGAAAAGATGACCAGCCCCTTCCCGTGGAGTGTACCCCTCAGCCCAGAGGGTTGGGGGGGCACCAGTTGTGAGAAGTGTGTCAAAGTGGGCTTGGTCAGGGAACCCACAGGTGTGAGGGTTTCCTTTTGTATTGAATAGGGTAGAATGAAGGGTCACTGGTGACCCAGTGTCTCATGCGTACTTGCTTTCAAAGTTGCTCCTTGGGATGGGGAAGGTATGAGTGCCCCTCCTGCAGATCCCCTTGCATTCCCCGCAGACCAGAGGATTCCGGGTTTCCCCGGGTGGGCATCTGCTGGGTGTGCCTATGGAGAGGTGGGGGACATCTCTGCAAGGATGCAGGTCCTTCCCTACAGCAGGCCCAGACGCTCCCCCCAGGTCTGACCACCGTGCCCCCCGGCCCTGGGTGCAGCATCAGCCCCATGTCTGTGTGTCTTTCAGCTTCCCTACAGGCAGCGTGAGGACAGCCTGTGCCCCAGAAGCAGGATGAGAAGATGGCAGACTTCCTGTTACCTCGGGGCACCAGCAGCTTCCGCAGGTTCACCCGGGAGTCTCTGGCGGCCATCGAGAAGCGCATGGCGGAGAAGCAGGCCCGGAGCTCCGCCGCCTCGCAGGAGAGCCGCGACGGGCCGCCCGAGGAGGAGGCTCCCCGGCCCCAGCTGGACCTGCAGGCCTCCAAAAAGCTGCCGGATCTCTACGGCAACCCACCCCGAGAACTCATCGGGGAGCCCCTGGAGGACCTGGACCCCTTCTATAGCACTCAAAAGGTGACTGCCACCCACCCCCACCCCACCTCCCCGCAGCGTCTCAGTCGACCAGGCAGACAGGGAGAGGGTCTCGCCTGCATACGGGGCTCTTTTTGGGGCTGGCTCCTTTGGGCCTCGGGGAAGTAAGTCATTAGTAATCTATATTCCAATCGCCTTAACTTTGGAGTTCCAGAAAAAAAGCCCAGAATTATGCAGCCTGAGATGGTTCGGTACTATGAAGGAAAGAGCAGGCAACCACTATGGAAATCTTGCCTCCTGGTGGACTATCTACTCAGGGACTAGTCTGTGGTCAGATTTCCAGCCCTGGAGGACTCCTGATCCCGTGGTGTGTGTGCCAGTCGGAGTCAGGCCCTGAGTCCTGTCCTGAGTTGAGTTTGGGCCTCAGAGCACAGCATGGGATCCCTCCCCCAACCAGGGACAGCATGTAGCCCCTGCTGCCCCGCCCCAGAGAATTTGCCGGGCATTGGCCGTGCCAGCACGGCTCGGGCTGGGGGCCGCAGCAGCAGCATCTGGGCCTTCTGGGCTGGTGATGGGACTGTGACGGCTCATGGGAAATCTGAGAGGAGTGGGAAGCCGGTGGCTCTGCCATTGTCCCTTCAGAGTGTAGGGAGAGGAAGGGACTTTGGTCCACTGTTAGTGTGTCTTGGTCACTCAGTCATGTCCAACCCCGTGGACTGTAGCCCGCCAGGCTCCTCCGTTCATGGAATCTTCCAGGCAAGAATACTGGAGTGGATTGCCTGCCATTCCCTTCTCCAGGGGATCTTCCTGACCCAGGGATTAAACCTGGGTTTCCCACGTTGCAGGCAGATTCTTTACCATCAGAGCCAGCAGGGAAGCCCTTCGTCCATGTGGATGGGGTAACTCAAGCTTCCTCCAGCATGAGTTTCTACCCAGGAGATAAATTCCCCCATCTGGGGCCCCTGCCCTGGCCTCACCTCTCAAGACCGTGCACCCAGGCCTGTAGCGGGCCAGACCACGGACACCCAGGGCTCCTGCAGAGGTGCCCACACTTTGGGCTACATGGCCAGGGGAAGGTGGGTTTCAATTTGGTGGAGGCCTCTCCCCAGAAGGCTGGGTGCCGAGGAGGATGGGTCCTGCGCACGTCACTGCAGTCAGTCCCCGGGCTGAGGAAGCAGTGGGGGCAGACAGGTTGGTGTTCCCAGGCCAAGCGTCAGCACCTGGTGTTTGTGAGTGTCGTGTGTCAGTGTTACCAGGAGTCTGAGCGGGGTGTCACTGTGCACTGAGACTGCATTCAGGAGACCAGGGGTCTGAGAGTAGGAGTGATGCACAGCTATCTCCCAGTGTGCACACACGTGTGCATGGGTGGCGGTAAAGCCCACCCAGGCTATGTGCACATGTGGAGAAGAGACTTTGAATTTGGTCTCACTCCCCACCCCCCAATTCAGGTGACTCAAGCTGGGTGAAGGTGAGGGCTGTGGCCGTATTGGGATTAGTCAGGTGGGAGGGCCTAGATCCTGGTTGGTCAGAGCTGGAATTAGGGCTGGGGTTAAGGCCACAGCTGGGACAAGCCATGGTTTGAGTGGTGCATCCAAGTAGTGATGGAGTTGGAGTTCACAGCCTGGAGTCATGGCAGAGGGACCCAACTGAGAGTGGGCCAGAGCTGAGCTGGGCTTTGGGAGCTTGTGGCAGCTGAGCCTGGGGGCAGTCAGGAACACTCTCCTGTCCCTGTGACCGGGGATACTTGAGCAGTGGCCCTAGGTAGGATTCTGGTCTCTAACCTCCTGCCTTGCCTTGCTGATGCCTGGTCACACTGCCTGCAACCCCATGGGGTGACGCAGGTAACACAGCAGAACTTTCAGTCCCGATCTTTCTGGACAACTTGTCTCCCTAGCCCAGATTAAATAGAACCTTATCTCACCAGCTCAGCCCTGGGAGAAGCCCAGCCCCAGGCCTTGCCACCTCAGCAGTGCCTTCTGTAGCCGGCGGGGATGGGCCGCTGTCCTCAAAGACAGCATTGGGCCCAGATGCCCACTCCATGTGCTATGGTGCAGCCTCCAGCACCCGTTGTCCACTCCCATGCCTCATTGTGCTGTGTAGATAGAATCTTCCAGAAACGTGAAGTTTACCCTGGGCAACACATGACCCTGGTGAGGAAGACTCCAGGTCGTGGCCTTTGGTGTCAGCTGGAGATGCCATCTGCCTGCACTCCAGGAGACAGGGTCCCAGGGAAAGATTCTGTCTCCTGGGCTGAGTCCTATATTTTTCTTATCCCTCTTTGGTTGTCCCTGCTGACCCAGCTCCCTCATCGCACGCTCAGTCTTCAGTGGGCCCAGCGGGGAAGCACAGAGGAGTCAGAGGGAGAGGGGAACCAGGGGGCATCAGCTGGGTCCTGGCCTCTGCTATGATGACAGCTCAGCTAGGATCATGAAAGGCCCCTTCTCATTGAAACGAAACTAAATCTACCCAACCTGACAATCCCCTGAACTTGATCTTGTCCCAGCCCAGCCATAGGTATGAGGATCCACTTACCGTCCAGCTGCCGGTACCCCCACCCATCTGTCAGGCCCTCTCCTCTTCCTCTCACCCTACCCCTCTGCCAGACTTCTAGGCCTCTGAGCCCACAACTGCCCCCCAAGAGCTCCTCTCCATAAGGACCTAAGGCTGCCACCCTACCTAAAGTGGCTCTCTGTCCACAGACCTTCATCGTCCTGAACAAAGGCAAGACCATCTTCCGGTTCAGTGCCACCAACGCCTTGTATGTCCTCAGCCCCTTCCACCCCATCCGGAGAGCGGCTGTGAAGATCTTGGTTCATTCATATCCTTTGCGATCCATGCCTGCTGTGTGGGCCCCACCCGGGGAAGGAGGGTGGACAGGGCGTTTAGGACTGAGGGCAATGTTGATTCCTGGTCAGTCCTCACCTGGGAGCCGGTTGGACATCAGTCTCTCAGACCCCACCCTAGACCTACCAATTCAGCATCTGCATTTTAACAAGATCCTGGAGGATAGTGGACACATGAAGGCTTGGGAGATTTGGCTGATTCTTCAGGAGAGAAGCGTCCTAGAAGCTGAGCTATCAAGGAAACCAGAAGAAATGAGGCCGGTCAGTGTCCCCTGATTCTGGTCTTGGCTCCCCATATCCCCTCGCATTGCACCCCACCCCACCCTGCCACGCCCTGCACCTCCCCACCCACTGGCAGGGACCTCCGGCAGGTCACCAGGGCTCAACCAAGGAGAAACTGCTTCCCAATCAGGAGGCCTCTGGTTTAGTCGCACGTGGGCCTCTTTCGAGGGAGGCAACACTTGCTTTTTGATTAGGTGTTGACAAAACGTTTGCAGTTTCAGAGCATCTCAAAGAACTCTGGTTAGCGTTAAATTATGTAAACCACAGCCTGAAAAAGCTTCAGGCTGTGGAGGAGACCGATGGGTGGGCTGTGGTGTGATGAGGGATGGGTAGTGGCCTTTGAGTCCTAGAAGGGTCCCATTCAGACCGAGCATGGAACAGGGAAATGGCTGTTCTTTGGGCTTCAAAAAAGGGATCCCACACGCAGAGCCTCTTGGGGAGGGCGGGTGTCTGGTTATGTAGTCAGAGGCACCTATGTTTCAGCATGAGGGCCGGGGCAACTTTGCTTTAGCTGCAGCTGGCTTGGCTGTTAATTGATCAATGCCGCTGGGCTCAGTAGTGTGATTAGTTGTGGGGTTGGCAGGTCGGGCCCAAGGGAGCTCCCCAAAGTCCCCTCTCCGTTCCCCTTCTGGATGGAAGGCCAAGGCCTCTGGGCAGGGCAGGAGGCTTGGGGAAAATGGCTGTCTAGTGGGGAACTGAGTCACCAAATGCTGACTAATTAGGGGGCCTTTCCTATCCAGGCAGGGATGAGAGGCGCTCCTTCCTGGCTCCGCAGTCTGCCCACCTGTGCCCCAACACTGATCCCAAAGCCAGGGACCACTCAGAGGGCCTTAGGGCCCGTTTGTTTTCTGCAGACAGATGCTCTCTGGCCCCCTCCAACTTTTCTCCTGGGGATCCTGAGACATGTACATCCAGGGAACACCACCCCCCCATTTAGGCGTGGCTGTGGCATCAGCACGGTAGTCTCCAGGGTGGGCAGACACTGTGGGGAGGGACTATATCCATGGAGCAGCCTACTACTCACAGCTGCATCCTACTTTGTGAGGCATGGGTGGTTCTAGATTTAATTTTGAGCTGTTCCCAAGCACCCTGGCGGTGCTACACACTTTGCCTGGCACTCTGGGGTGCTTATCAAACTGGATAAGTCCCTGTCCTTGCCCCCTTGGGAATTTTACAGCCCCTCACCCCCCAGCCCCCACCCAAGAGTGATTAGACAACCACATGAGGAGTTGTCATTCCTGGCGTGTGAGCATAGCCTGGTGAGAGCAGTGCGGGCTCACTGCAAGGGCGTGGCCTCTCTGCAGGCGCGCTCTGGCTCCCGCCTGGGGCTTCTCCTCCAGGTATCTAACCAACCAGCTCTCTCTAGCAGTCAGCTCAGCCCCTGGGGATGCACCTGCAGCCCCGGGGTCCCTGTAAGGCTGGGCCATGGGGCGGCTGAGGCCAGGGAGGCAGGTGGGCCAGGGGGACAGCAGGGACAATGCAGTCCCCAGCCTGGCCAGAGGGTCTGCCAAGTGCTGGCTCCAAGGCTGTGAGGAGCTGGCTCCGCCCAGCAGGGCCGGCCCAGAGGGCTCCGAGGGGGGCCTCGTCTCCCAGGGCAGCTGCCCCAGGGAAGCGGCTCAGCAGCTGGGAGGCCCCGCGCTGGGCTCTTAGCGGCTCCTTGATGCTCTGCTACCTGGGGATGGAAGCGCCCCTTAGCGGGCTCGGGAGGCACTGAGGGAGACGAGGGGCCTGGGTTGTGGGGTTGGGGAGCAGCCCTCCTGTGTCCTCGGGTCTTGCCCTCAAAGTGTGGTACACGATCAGCAGCAGCAGCATCAGAAGCATCTCACAGGAACTGCTGAATCTCGGGCCCAGAACCTGTGTTTTAGGAAAGTCTCCGTGATCTGTAGCTTCCCTGGTGGCTCACTGGCAAAGAATCTGCAGTGTAGAAGATGGGGGTTCAACCCCTGGGTCAGGAAGATCCCCTGGAGAAGGAAGTGGCAACTCACTTCCAGTGTTTTTGCTTGGGAAAGCCCATGGACGGAGGAGCCTGGCAGGCTACAGTCCATGGGGTTGCAAAGGGTCAGGCACAACAGCAATAAACAACTATGATTTGTGCACTCACTGCTCAAGGCAGTCACTTCTAAATGTCAGTCTGAGTGGCACCAGGGAAGTTTGTTAAAAATGAAGACACCTAGCCCCTTCCAGATCAGAACCACCAGTGTGAGGCCTCAAATCTACAAGCTCTTCATGCATTTTTCAATCAAGATAAAATTCACATACCATAAAATTTACCATTTAAAGTGTACAGTTCAGTACACTTTATATTCAGTACAGTATATTCATAAGTTTGTGCAGCCATTACCACTAGTTCCAAAACATTTTTATCACCAAAAAGGAGCCCCACGCCCATCAGCAGTCACCATGCATTTCTAAGGCATACAGATTTCAGGTCTTGAATTACAAAATTTCCCCCCCCCTCTGTATAGATAGATAGATTTACAAAATTTCCCCCTCTCTCTCTGTGTATAGATAGATAGATACAGATATATGACTGTATATAGATAGGCTTCCCTGCTAGCTCAGCTGGTAAAGAATCTACCTGCAATGCCGAAGACCCTGGTTCTATTCCTGGGTTGGGAAGATACCCTAGAGAAGGGATAGGCTACCCACTCCAGTATTCTTGAGCTTCCCTGGTGACGCAGAGGGTTAAGAATCCGCCTGCAGTGCGGGACCTGGGTTCAGTCCTGGGTTGGGAAGATTCCCCTGGGGGAGGGCATGGTTACCCTCAAATCTACAAGCTCTTCATGCATTTTTCAATCAAGATAAAATCCACATACCATAAAATTCAATACTGGAGTGGGCTACCCACTCCAGTATTCTTGCTGGAGAATCCCCAAGAACAGAGGGTCCTGATGAGCTACAGTCCATGGGGTCGCAGAGTCGGACGTGACTGGGTGACGCAGCACAACACAGAATATACACATGTATACACACATGCGCCGGCGTCCCTGGTGGCTCCGCAGCAAAGAATCCACCTGCAGTGTGAGAGACACAGGAGACGTGGGATTGATCCCTGGGTTGGAAAAATCCCCTGGAGAGGCAAACGGCAACCCACTCCAGTGTTCTTGGCTGGAGACTCTCATGGACAGAAGAGCCTGGTGGGCCGCAGTCCATGGGGTCACAAAGAGTCAGACAAGACTGAAGTGACTGAGTGCACACACACACACACACTTTGTGTGGTAGAAAACATATAACATGAAATTGACCATCTTAACCATTCTTAAGTGTCCAGAGCAGTCATGCTGTGCCACAGATCTCTCGTAACTTTTTCATGTTGCAAAACTGAAGCAAATTGTCTGCTTACATTTCTACAGATATTCAAACATCTCAGCCCCCAATGTGCAAAGTTTTGTGCCAGGCCCTTTGGAAAGGGCAGTAGGGACAAAGACTGACTTGAAAGGGGGCAGGAACACAGGCCCTGCTCTCCAGAAAGAAATTCCTCTCACTTGTGACAATCCAGGCATTCCCAGTGACAGGCTGGCAAGCGCACCATAACTCCGTTCAGCTTTGCTCTGGGCTCCACGCTCGCAGTGCGTCCCTGGGAAGTTGCCTAAAAAGTAAATATGGGCATGGAGAACTTTTTTTCCCGATGTATTTTTGTTATAATCCTGCAGAATGTGTTCCTGCAAGGATTAAATAAAAGAAACCAACAGAACTCCAAATTCCACTGCAGTCACATTCAGAGACGCCGCACGTTCATGGCGAGCAGCATTTTGCCTTCCTGGGTGCACAGGATCTGTTCACAAAATCCTCCCACGTTCTTCTAGATTCAAATGGGCAATCAAATCGTGTGTGTGTGTGTGTGTGTGTGTGTGTGGTGTGTTCATTTAATAGAACAAATATATGAAAATACGCCAACTGTTAATTCCCTTCTCATTGGGAGTTTTTTGACTCCTTAGCATCTGAAGCCAGGCAGCCCCAGTTTTAGGCATTCCCCACAACCCAGGCTGGCAGTCCTTGCTGGCGTTTTAATTATGAGGCTGGGAGTGGGTGTTTAGGGACAATGACATGACAGGATTGAAGATGTTCGGCTCAGCTCAGCCCTGGAGAACTGGCCTCTGCCACTGCCCACGCGTGAAACCAGCTCTGTCATTGGCCTGAAGCCGCCAGGCAGTGCCAACAGCTGTGCCCTGGCCAGGAGCGCACCTGACTTCTCCGGGATTGGCCGTGCGGTGGCTCCATGGGAACTCAGGGATGCCTGGGCAGAGTCACGTGGACCAGAGTCTGTGTAGGAAAGGATCACACACACACCCCTCCCCGAATATGACTGAGAGCAATGGAAGGGCCGTCCTCAAGAACTGGAGAGCCAGGCAGGGTTTTGAGCAGTCAAGTGGCAGAGACTGGAGTCCAGGCAACTCACGCTAAGGCACTGCTGTGTCTGGAGAAGCCAAAATTCGTTGAGATGGTACCTTCCCTTCCCCCTGCAGCACAGGCCGTGGCTGGCAGGGCTCAGAAGGCTTGTCTGCTCTGGCCCTTCCCGAGGTCTTGATATTAGACTGCAGTTCGCCTCTGTCTGTGTCCAGCCGAGTCCTCTGGTCCAAGGCAGCCTGTCCACACTGCTGCTCTCTGCCAAGCTGCCTTTTCTCCACTCTGATGAGAGCCGTGAGTGGCATGACCACAGTGGGGAGAGGCTTGGCTCCTCAGACAGGCATCTCTAGTCCTGAGCTTCCCCAGGAACAGCTGGACTGACTGTTTGCTGGAGGAACCCTAACCAGCCTCCAGAGCCTGTGTGAATGCCTCCTCCAGGAAGTCTCCCTGCTCAGCGTTGCCAGAGACAAGTCTGATTTCTCATAATCTCCTATCTCGGAGCAGTTCAATGGCTTGGAGGTCTCCCTGTCTCCCACACAGAGCCATGCCCATGTGCTCATGTGAGGTGGGTTCTTAAGAATGACAAAGAATTCAGTTCGTCTTCCTGGATGGCTGTCTGCGCACACTTTACAGAGCCCTTCACCCGGTGGTTTTCATCGCGCCGTGTAGGTGTCAGAGTCCAAGCGTGGGACAGCACTCCCGCTTGGCAGCTGAGGGCCTGAAACAATGTGACTCCCACAGGCCCTTCAATCTGGAGGTGAGGGAAGGGGCCAGGGGGCTTTGCTGTCATCGTGTAGAGATGGTGAGGCAACAGCAGATGGTGAGCTCAGAGTGGAGCCTGCATCAGGATGGCCAGGTCTCAGATCTGGGCTCTGCCGTTGATCAGGGTCGGACCCACAGTCATTTTCTGCGGCTGCTACAACAAATTACCAGAGACTTAGCAGCTTGAAACAATGCAGACTTGTCATCTTATGGTTCTGGAGGTCAGAAGTCCAAAAAAGATCTCACTGGGCTAAAAACAAGGTATCTGCAGGGCCACAGTTCTTTCTGGAGGTTCTCAGAGAGAATCCGTTTTCTAGGTTTTTCTGTTTTCCAGGGGCTGTGGAAAATCCTCAGCTCTGGCCCCCTTCCATTTCCAAAGTCAGCAACAGCTGGTGGAGTCTTTCTCACGAACATCATGCTGACGCCTGCCTCTTTCTCTTTTATAAGGACCCTGTGATGACATTGGGCCCACCCAGATAATCCAGGATAATCTCCCGATCCTTAATTTAATCACATCTGCAAAGTCCCCTTTGCCATCTACATGAGCGTTTATATCCAGCGATTAGGACTTGATTTTCTCTGCTGGGGGGCATTATTCTACCTACTAAAGTATCCTTCAAGGTAACCTCTTTGTGCCTCAGTCTCCTCATCTCTAGAATGGAGAAGAAGTTTCCACCTCCTGCATTCTTGGGAGAAGAGAAATAGTCAATGGATGCAGAGAGCAGAGCCTGGCGCCTAAGAAGGGCTCAATAAATACTTGCTGTTAGCATCATTACTTTCATATGTCAGGAATCATCTGATCCTCAGTAGACAGTTAAGCAATGGATCTTTGGGGATGAATAAAGGCTGGTTAAGGGGCTTGTTAACTCCCTGCCTAGTGAGGAAAGCCTTGGCAGGGAGCCGGGGTGTGAGGAATGTGTGTGTGTGTGTAGGGGAGAAGGGCTATTGAGATGATTATCTAACCTGCCCTTGAATGCTGGAGAAGGAGCTAGGCCCAGTGGTGAAGACCTCCCCCAGGCAGAGGGAGGGACAGATACCAAGCTGAGGGAAGGACCCCAGTGTCTGGGGAGGCACCCCCTAGCTGGGGAGAAGTCAGGGCTCCCTGCAGCCCTGGCCTCTGAGCTGAGCTACCAGCTTTCCAGAAGTCGTATGACTTTCCAATAGTCATGTATGGATGTGAGAGTTGGGCTATAAATAAAGCTGAGCGCCAAAGAATTGATGCTTTTGGACTGTGGTGTTGGAGAAGACTCTTGAGAGTCCCTTGGACTGCAAAGAGATCCAACCAGTCAATCCTAAAAGAATTCAGTCCAGAATATTTATTGGAAGGACTGATGCTGAAGTTGAAACTCTGATGCTTTGGGCACCTTATGCGAAGAACTGACTCCTTGGAAAAGATCCTGATGCTGGGAAAGATTGAAGGCAGGAAGAGAAGGTGATGACAGAGGATGAGATAGTTGGATGGCATCACCAACTTGATGGACCTGAGTTTGAGCAAGCTCTGGGAGTTGGTGATGCACAGGGAAGCCTGATGTGCTAGAGTCCATGGGGTCGCAAAGAGTCAGACATGACTGAGCAACTGAACTGAACTGAATCCTGGTTTGACTAGGGGTGAGGGTCCCCAAACCTGACCCCTGTCATCTCAGATGAGAAATTGGAGAATTCGCTATAAAAGTGGGGGCTGGATCTGACATGCTATTCCCTGATTCCCTGGATTCTCTCAAAGGAGCACTGGAGGTGTGGAAGACATCCCACCTCTCTCCCCAGCTGGACCAGCCCCCCTCCAGAAATCAAAACCCTAGCTCAGCCCCCTCTCCGGTCTGACTACACTGGACTCCGCATTGGGCCTGAGGTTGGGCAGGCCATGGGAAAGGGTGAAACTGTGATGGGAGGGAAAAGGCAGGCCCCGGAGTTCAATTACTGCAGCACCTGGGGCGTCCATGCGAATCGCCCCACGGGCCGATGCCAAGGCAAGATGGTGACCCTGGGAGCAGCTACAGGGGGCGGGAGGCCCAGTTTCCCCAGTCGGACTTGGGAGAAGATTCCGGAGGGCAGCAGAGTGTCCTTGTTCAGGGCCGGGACCCTCATGGGTGTCCGCGCCCACAGGAGGCCCGGCGTCTGACCTGTGTTCCTCCGCAGTTCTGGTAGAAGTGAGGGGGGCCGTGGCAGTCAGTCAGAGCTTTATCCAGTCTGAGGCAGCGTCTGGGACCTGGAGCCAAGGAGTCAGGGATCAGACAAGGCCTGGAGCAGTTCAGTTCGAGGCCAAGGGCCCCAAAGATGCCCAAGACACAGTCGTGGCATTTAAAGAGCCCCCCTTGTGGTGGGAACAGAGGGACGCTGTCAGTCAGGGAGGCAGCCATGCCTCCAGAGGGGTGCCTGGTGCCCTGGGGGTGCAACAAGCAAGGAGCCGGGGCAGACCGCCCTGAGGGGGAGCTCCTTGAAGGAGAGGAGCGGGGTACTAGGTGGAGCAGAGGCCAGGAGTGAAGAGCCTGTGTGTGCGAAAGAAGCAACGGCCAGAGAAGTGGTGTCCTGCTTCCCCCAGCTCATTGTGTCCTGACAGGGCATATACCTTTTGGCAGAAGTCCTGATTCAAAGGTCAGCCTGGGCCACTCCCGTAGAAGTGGAGGAGGGCACTCAGAGCCCTGCCATCGTGGCCTCCCTCTCCCCAGAACAGTGGCCTCCGAGCAGCCGTTTATAAATGCCCGTCTCCCTCCAGTGTGGCCAAAGACACGGCTCCCATGCGGCCGTGGGTAAAAACCTCTGAGGTCTGGGAGGTTCCTTCCTTCCATCCATCCCTGTGGGATGGGCCCTACAAGGGACGCTGCTAATAGCTCAAACTCAAGGGTCTGGTCCCTGTCAGAGGCTGTGGAGCAGGGCAGGTGTCTGGCCCCAAAGGGGAGGGATTGGCAAGGACTGGGCAGAGCCCCGGTGTGTCTCCTGGGAGCCCTCGTCTCGTCGACCTGGCAGCCTTGGCCTGGTGGTGTGGAGCCCAGGGGTGGGGCCCGCTGGTGGTGGCCCCCTGCAGGCGACTTTCCTTGACACTGCGCCACGCTCTTCAGCATGCTCATCATGTGTACCATCCTGACCAACTGCGTGTTCATGGCCCAGCACGACCCTCCACCCTGGACCAAATATGTCGAGTGAGTATCCCCAGGCCTCTCCAGCAGGCCCTGCCCCCTCTGCCTTTCCCATTCGAGACTCTGGGCCTCAAGGTCACCTGAGCAGAGGCCCAGGTCTCACCCACCTGGGGTGCCCTTGGCCCAGCCCTTCCCTCTCTTGCTGCTTCCAGTCCTGCCAAATTTGTGCTTTGATTTGTGGCCTCGGGAGAGGAAGCTCTCCTGAGGGTTGACAAAAGGAGGGCTTTCTCCCTGACCCACCGGAAGGTTTTGGAGAAGGCACAGAGATGATACTAACTAATAATTGAATGAACACTTAGTGCACACCAGGCACTGTCCTAGAACTGCATGCATCATGTCCCATAACCCTCACGGCAACCCCATAGTGCAGGCACAGCCACTGGGCCCATTTGACAGATGAGAGAGAACTGGAGAAGTAACCGATTCAAACTGTGCAGCTGGGGGCTGTGGGCACCACGAAAGGCCCCGGACTCTCCCTAGCTCAGTACCACACTCTGCTGCCTTTTTTCTCTAAGTCCTACTTTCTATAACCAGTTTTAGAAAGCTGCCTAGTTCTTCCTTCCCAAATGAAAGTACCTGACCTCTGGGCTCTAGGAGGACCCAACACCCCTGGTGTGTTTGGCCCTCAACAAAAGGCTGGGGAAGCCTCTCTTCCCTAGGCGGCTTGCCTTGTTCATGCAGGACCCAGCAGCATCATTGATGCTGCGCTCTGCATCTAGCTGCTAAGACCCGGGGAGCAGCAGGGCTGTGACCCTTTCCTCATCTGGCCCTGTGGGCTGCAGTCCCAGCATCCGAGCATTTGGGATTGCTCAGCTGGCCCCAAGCACAGAGAATAGCCCTTTTCTAGTCTCAGGTGTTAGAACATCAACCCCCTTTCAAAGCCCAAGGTAGACACCTGTACCCACCTACCTGTAGGTGGTTGACGATAGACCACGCTATCCACTCAGAAGCCACAAAGAAAAGTGCGGGGCCGTGACTCTGAGTGTCCTGACAGTCCTACAGTGGCCCCAGGGCTGAGGGGAGGAGATAGGTGGAGGGTCTTCTTACATCAAGACAACCGAGAGATAGAAGATAGAGAGTTCGCATGGGAATGTGTGAGCCCTGTGCACGATGCTGAGTAAACAGGATGATGCATTAGCCGACCAGGTTTTTGGAACAAAGCTCCAGCTCCCAACTTCAGCTCTGCTGTGGGGGCTTTGCAGAGAGCCTGGTGTGAGGGCCCTCGCGAGGGGGAAAGATGCATAGGGCTCATGCCAACCTGGCCTGCAGGCTTCACCCTCCCGCTGATCTCTCCTCCCCAGGTACACCTTCACTGCCATCTACACCTTCGAGTCTCTGGTCAAGATTCTGGCTCGAGGCTTCTGCCTGCACGCGTTCACCTTCCTTCGGGACCCGTGGAACTGGCTGGACTTCAGTGTGATCATCATGGCGTAAGTACCTTGTCGCTGCGCTGTTCTGGGAGAGGCCACACTGGGGGGCGTGGGCACCACTCCTGGCCCCAGGCTGAGGCCACGTCAGCTCTGCAGGTGGCTATAGAGCAACCCACTTTCCTGCTGTGGAGGCGGGAGATGGCATGGAGGCCCTCGACTCATCCTGGTGGGGAGAGACGGGTTCAGTGTAGCTCAGGCTTCCTTAGGGGTCAGGGCCACTGGCTCATCTGTGGCTCCATGGCAGCCTTGTGCTCAAAGAGGGGCTTCATTAAGATTCTGGTTTCGCACCCTCTGCACTTTCCATCAAGGGAAACCAGTGTTACAACCTGACATCTCTGGGCCACTATGAAAAGTGGCCTGGATTCCAAGGTGACTTAAACTGCAGGAGAGAGAGCAAAGGAGCCCAGAGAAGTGGCCAAACATCCCCAGGAGCTCCTGCCAGGCACCCTGGCATGGCTTCAATCTCCACTCACAGACCCCACGTCTGGCACATTGCGAGACCCCTAGTCACCAACATGATCCACTGGGTCCTCACACCAGCCAGAGAGGTAGACGGGATTGGGGTTCCTTATCTCCATTTTACAGATGAGCAGACTTAATCCAGGGTCTCAGTGAGCAGACATGACCCTAGGCCTGCTGCTCCACCGGCTAAAGCCCCACTTCCTTGCCTGGGAGGAGACCTCTTGCTGAGGGGTTGGGTTGAGGCATGCCACTCTGGATATCTCAGACAACGGATGCTGGGTTCTGGCGGGGTTGAGGGGTCAGGGCAGGCCTCTCATGCAGGACTTATGGTCAGGGGCTTAGCCGTCAAACCCTTTCTGAAAGACTGATGTGTGTGGAGAGCCCAGTGTGTGCAGGGCTGGGGCCTACACCTTGGCCACAGCAGGGCCGGTGCGGGTTATACTCCCTGCCCCTTCAGAGCCTCGCTTTCCCCACTGGTGAAGGGGTGGTGTTGAGCTGGGTGGTATCTGAGGTGCAGTTCCGCTGCTGCTTTCTAGGTTTCTCAGATTGACTAAATCCGCCTGTTCATGACGAAGTCTCTATTGGCCCTTGGCTGTGAGCGGCTCTGAGCTCAGCCGTACGGTGGAGGACAGAGGGAAAGAGAGAAGCTGGACCTTGATGATGGGGCGCTCTCTGTCTGCCGGTCAGAACAGGCAGCATAGCCTCCGTTTCTAGGCACACTGCTGGTCAGCTGACCCCAGCCCACCCTTTTACAGGTGGGGAAACCGAGGCTCGGAGAGGGGCTACCACTCGCCCGGGGTCCAGTGTCGATTTAGGCCTGGACAGAGCTGAGCTAACAAGGGCAAGAGCCCTGGGCTGTGGGAGACAGACTTCACCCTACAGGCTGAGAAGAGTCGAGTGTGATGAGAGCTGATGGGGGTTAAAAGCAGGGCGGGGCGCACTCTGCTTTGCCGTGGAGGAGGTGGCCCTGGTTGCTCTGTGGGTGGGACTCTGGGGAAGAGTAAGCGCAGAGGCTGTTTTGGTAACCAGGAGAGAGAGGATGGTGGCTGGGACCAGGGTCCCAGTGGAGAAGGTGTGAGATATGGTCAGATTCTGGGGGTATTTGAAAGTAAGGCTGACAGGAGACCTCGAGGCAGCTTTTGGAGTGAGCGGCTGGGTGGCTGGTGTGACCACGTGTCGGCCTGGAGAACGGAGGGAGGAGAAGACTCGAATATCCGGTCTGGAATTTCTTAAGTATGAAAGCATCCAGGGTGAGACACCGAATCAGCAACTGGATCTTCCAGCCTGGAGTTCAGGAACGAGGTCCACTCGGAGGTATAAATTTAGAAGCCATCGGGATACGGATGGTATTTAAAGCCGGGAGACCGGATGAGATCATCTGGGAGAGTCGCCAGGGAAGGGAAGCTGCCTGGGGACTGTACCCTGGGACGCTCCGACATCGTGGAGTCAGGAAGAAGGAGGATGGAGCAGAGAGACTGGCGGGAACCCCCGGGGAGAGAGCAGTGTCCTGAAAGCCAACGAGGGGACGCGACTCGAAGGAGGCTCGTGAGGCCCGAGATGCACTGTTGGAGTCCACAGCATAAAAGTGGCGGATGCCCTTGACCTTGACAAGACGGGGGACACACACCTGATCTCAGAGGGCTCGGGGGAGGGTGGGAGGAGAGTGGAGGAGGGCAGGTGTACCCATCTGGTCTGTGGGGTTTGCTCTAAAAGAGGACCCAAGGTAAGATGGTGATCAGAGGGGCAGATGGGTGAAGCGAGGACCCCTAAAGAAGGGAGCATCTGTGCAGGTTGACGGGAACGATCCAGGAGAGAGGGCAAGTCGGCGATGGTGGAAAAGGGCCGACTGCAGGAGCAAGGCCCTTGAGCTGGCCCCGAGGGGTCGGGAACCCAGGATCTGGGAGGAGTGTTGGCCCTAAGAGCAGGGAAGACAGAATTCCCAGTGGCAGTGGGGGTGGATTGATAGAACCGATGATGAGAGAAGGGATTTCTCTTCTGATTGCTTCTGTTTTCTCTGTGGCAAGAAGCGGGGTCATCAACTGAGAGCCCAGAGCTGGGAGGTGCGTCCAAGGTGTGAGGAGGGAGGTAGCGTGCTCTGTGTCTGAGCCAGGACTGATGAGAGTGGGGTAGGATCGCTAGGCCCCGGCTTTCAGGTGCCCAGCGGGAGGTGGGCGGTGATCCACAGACCCCTGAGGGCCTGAAGTCACAGAAGGAGGATACAGCGTCTGCCTAAGCCTCCCCTACCTTCCCGTCCTGGAGCCTGAGCAGAGAACTGGGTTATTGCAACAACATGCCCAGAACCCTGGGCCCCTTGTCTGATGTCAGGAGCCAAGTTTTAACTTGGCTTCAGCCCGTGACTCTGGGCAGTGCTCTGAGTCCTCTCCATCTAGCTTCTAGGAAGTCCTCCTGTCCTGTCTCGTGAGAGAATCCCAGTCAGCCCCCCACGGAATCCCAAGGGAAACTACTCCCTTCATTCAAAATCGCAGAGCAGGAGGGCCTTGCTCACCAAGGCCTCCTGTCCTCATTCTATACTGACCCTGGGCTGAAAAAGCAGAGCGAAACCTCCAAGGCCACCAGACTGCTTCCACGTTTCTGAGTGTCTCACAAGAAATGGCCCGCTCACTTCCCCTGGGGCTGCCTGGAATGCCAGATTTGCTCTCTGGGCTAGATTGGCCCAGCACCTCAATTGACAATGCTCCTGCTTTGTGAAAACAATGAATTACTGCTGTGGTGATGCAGTGAAAAGCGTTCTGCTATAACCAAAGTGATTCAGTAATGTGGGGCTCCTAGAATAATCAAAGTGGCAGGAAAGTTCTGTTCAGTGACATTCCCCTGCCTCCCCTCGGTTTTAACGATGGAGAAACTGAGGCTCAAAGAGAGCCTACCCCTTGCCTCAAATTGTAGGATGAATCAGCAACAACGCAGGGACTCCAACCAGGTCTCCTAACTCGTAACCTTGCGAAGCACCCCTAATCTGATGTTTCTGACTTAGGCTTCCACCTGATCCCCAGTCCCACCCACTTTAGAGATTGTGGAGGGTCAGAGGAGGGTGCCAGGAAGCCTGTCAGGCTCCACTTGCAACCCTCCAGCCAGAGCTCTTCCTGTGGCCCCCCTTTCAGCTGGGCATTACCAGCTGCCTCCCACCTTCTGGGGTTGTTATGGAAACCAAACCTGGAGGGAAGGGAGGGAGGGCAGAGAGGAGAGGGTGACAATCACCGCAGTAGCTAACGTGCTGGCTGTACCTCTGCCTCGCAGCCCAGGCGGGGCCATCTGCCTGGAACGGGAAGGCTGCATACCCGGATGGGGGCCGAGCAGGTGGAAGGCCGGGCTCTGCCTTCCTCAGGGCTCCTCAGCCTCCAGAAGCCTTCCTCTCGCACTGGGGCTGGTGTGATGGGGTAGAACTCTACCCCACCACTGTCTGCTCTTTCTGTGTCAGATCCCGCCATCCCACCCCAGCTGTCTGCCCCTGCCCTGAGAGTTGGCCACCGCAGAAAGAGTAGAATGGCTTGATGGAGCATTTGGGCAGCACGGATCTCTGCTCCACCCCGCTCTGGGCCGCTGTTGAAGCTGCCCCTTTGCTAGATATAGGGTCTCTCCTGCCTTGCATACTCCAGGGCCCCAAGAGAGGCTTCGGTGAGGGTCTAGGGCCCCGAGATGGGAAGTAGTCGGGCACCAGGCTCTGGGTTGAGTGAAAGAGGCAGCAGGCCCCCATGTCACAGACGTGCTCACAGACATACCTTGCCCTCAGCCTGTCCTGCACCCCACCTTCCAGGCTTCTTCCTCCTCAGTATTTTGACCGCTGGCCCTGCCCGTTCTCAGCCATGCCACTGGCCTTGAAGGCTATGGGGAGCATACCCCTTGGGGTCTTGGCTTCCCTGTGCCCAGCAGGTGTTGACTGGAGGGATACTGTTGGTGTTAGGGACCCTGAGGGGATGGGGGAGGCAGGGTCTACGCTGGGATGGGCACAGACTAGCTAAATCCAAGCAGGAGATGAGCAGGGCTTCCCTGGAAACCCAAGGGGACAGGCAGGGTCTGGAAGGGACAAGAGACTGAGGTAGTTGGATCCCTCTCTGGCACAGCTCTCTGCCCATTCCCTATACCCGGGAGACACAGCCTTGACGCCAGTGTCCTCAGCAAGAAAACTGTTCTGGGGCACACCCACTGGAGTAGCCACAGAAAATGGACCCAGAGCCTCCTGCAGGCTAGAACCATGGCTTCCATGTAACAGCGACATTGGCAATCGTCCAGGCTCCTCCTGACAGTCCCATGGCCACATCATGTCAGGACAGGGTCCAAGCCTGAGAGGAGAATGTGGGACCCTCAGAGGCCTAAGGGTCAGAGCCCTCACAGAAAGTGGACTAGCCATCCAAAGTTGAGAGGGAGCTTCAACCAAATCAACAGATGAGGTGATGTTTACCTCCCATTGGAAGCCAAGGCTGTATCTGACTGTTGCACCCAAGAAAGATTTGCAGGCTGCTGTGAGTCCAGTGGGTGAAATGGAAGAAATGGACCACACCATAGAAAGGACCTGGTGTAGACAGAAGGAAAGCTCTGCTGAGAATGAGTCTGCTGACTTCCCATCCCTGAAGGGATATGGAGAGTGAGGAGGGAGCAGGCTTGGTCCACAGTGCCCCATGAGGATGGAGGAGCCCCACGAGTGGACGGACAGGAAGCTGGTGTCAGCGCTGGACCAGGCTGGACCCAACCAACCTCAGGTCGCCGAGTCCCTTGGTGCAGCCTGCCAGGTCCCTCCCTGAAGACCCCCAGAGCTTGAAGGCAGATTCAGAAGCTCTAAGCAGAGTGGAAGGGCCTGGAGGGCCACAATGACTGGCAGAGTGAGTCCATCAGCCCTGTCAACCCACCCTCGACACTCACCCAGTGTGCCTGGGCTGACATCACTCAGACACCGGGTCGAACACAGTTGGTTACACATGAGCCATCCAGAGTCCGCTGTTCTTTGTCAAACATCAGACACCTTCGGTTAAATGTCAGACACCCTGGATGTGAAACCTTTGATTAAATATCACCAGTCACTTGCCACTCTCCCAACGGCCCTGGGCACACACTGTCCATCCATGCTCAGACATCCTGGTCATGGGACCCATCCACGCGTGTCCTTGTGTTCTTCTTAGGTGGGCCCAGCCCCCCAGAATCAACGCCTTCCTTCTGGGCCTATGGAATCTGTTGTCCAAGTTGTGCCCATGGCCACTCAGCCCAGCTAAGCACCACTCAGGCCCGAGCAGGACACATCCCCAGGAGGGCTGCTCACTTCCCAAGGCGACTCCTCCCATGGAGACCCATCATAAGGGGACACCAAGACAGAGGTGCACTCATGGGAGAGGGGTTGGCACATGCCTAGGACTCCACACCTGCTTTTTTCCTCTTCTTGTGTTGGTCATTTCCTGTGGTCAAAGAGCTCACTGTCTGGGCAACCTCCCGTCTCACCTTCCAAAGCATCTTCTTGGGAAGTCTTCTCCCTCTGAGTTCTCAGGTCACCGCCACCTTCTGACTTCAGGGACTCCTGAATCAGCCCTTGCGCAGAGATTTGTGGTTGGAAGGAGCAAGCAGGCTGCCTTCAGACACCCAGCCATGCCTCCACAGTGGTCTCTGGGGCTTCTGAGTCCCACAGGTCAGAGCTTCAAGGCATGAGCCCATGACACTGCAGAAAATGCGGAGCACAGCTAGGACCAGACACCCGCTTGCTTCCTTTATCACCTTCCCCCTGGAAAATGGAGTTTCCCTCTTGGCCATGTCCCCAGCCCCAGACCCCACCATGTGGCCGTGCGTCACAGTCTCCAGTGGCGTGGAGCATGTGGCAGGATAGCCACCTCTTAGCGCCGGTTGTTCACGGGACCATCACCAAGAGAGCTGCCTGGGAGCTTGCTCTGTGGACTCTCTTAAGGCATCCTGGCCGAGGTCCCCATGGCAGGAGGGATGAAAGCAGGAATAAAACCTGGGGGAGGCCGCGGGTCATGCCCAGCCCTTCCCGTGGGAGCGGGAGAAGAGAGAGGGCTGGTCGGGGAGGGTGGGCTGAGGTGCCACTTTGTAATTCCCAATAACTGTGGTTTGATTCTGCAGGTATGTATCAGAAAATATAAAACTAGGCAATTTGTCGGCTCTTCGAACTTTCAGAGTCCTGAGAGCTCTAAAAACTATTTCAGTTATCCCAGGTAAGATGCTCAGGTTTGCCTCCCAGATCTCAGCTACAAGTGACTTTCTCTCTGTTTCCCCCACCCCCCTCCTCTGACCGTGTGTCCTCCTGGTGTGTTGTCACTGTTTTGTGTGTGAATTTCCCCTGTTACAGATACACCACTGAATTTGTGGACCTGGGCAATGTCTCAGCTTTACGTACCTTCCGAGTCCTCCGGGCCCTGAAAACTATATCAGTCATTTCAGGTGAAAATCAGGTTAAACGCCAAGGCTGGAGGGATACGCTTGGGCCTTTCCAGCCACCTGGGGGCCAAGGCAACCCTTGGAAAGGTCCCCCCGAATGTGCCTGTCCCCAGAGTACCTTTCCCAGAGCTCAGATGTGGGGGCTATTGGCAGTAGACACGGTTGTCCCCTCGGGCGTCAAAGGGGCTCCAGACCCACCCCGGCAAAGCCCACCACCACAGACCCCCGGGGGCCCAGAGGACACCGTGGAAGGGCCTGGGTTGGCCCCAAATTCTTCCCAGGACAGTGATTGCCTTCCCAAACTGAACTCAACTGTCGGAAGAGGTGAAAGCTTATGTGTGTGTGGCTTCCCCTCGAAGCATCATCCTGCAATCAGAAAACTGAAAGAGCTGTTTGTAGGGAGACCACCCCCTCGGGTGCTGCACGCGCACCTGGCACTCCCGCCCCATTCTGCGATGCAGAGTGTACTCTGTGGACAGGCGTCGCCGGGCCTTGGCGTCTAACAGCCCTCGCTGCATGTGCGGTAGACGTTTAGCAAACCGTGCACGGTAGCCTCGGGAAGAAATTCTCCTTGACAACATGTTGGCAATTGTCCCCGGGAAACCTGCCGAGGCCCAAGTGGCCTCTCTAGAAAGCCAGTTGACCCCATCCGTCTAGGAAAGTTCTCTAAGACTTCTGACGATGTCAGAGCCTAGAGGCCCCTCCCGGCACATCCACACTCAGAACCGGAGCAGGCACTTCTTTTGAGCAGGCAGCTGGAAACGGGTTGTACGCCACCAGTCTGGAGAGATGGCAGAACCAGATGGTGGTATCCACTCCTGATGTGGAAAGTGGATGTGTCCTGGGCCCTCCGCCTGCTTTTGGCTATTGCTGCCTCCAGGGAGCCAGGGGCCCTGCTCTGAGTTCAGCCTCCCCTGGTGGGGCTCATTTATCATTTAAGGGGAGCCCCCATTCATGCTGACTTCACCCTGAGCCTCAGAATGCTCCTTTCTGGCTCTGATCCCACCATGGGCTAAGCACAGGAGCCACTTGCCACCACACTCCCCACAAGTGGCCCAGGCCTGCTAAGAGGTCACAGTGAGTGAGACAGGATGCTCCAATTCCCATGAAGCCTCTCCCAGCCCACAGTCGTAACAGGTGTCATTGGCCTTGGTACACACACATCCTCAGATACCTCAGGGTCTGTCCTCTAGGGCCCCGGGGACCTCACAGCACACACCCGGCAAAGGTAGGCATGCACACTGACCAGAGCCATTAAGAAAAGGCATGTGCCAGTTTGTTTTATTAAAAAAAGGCTGACAAGAAACGGTTTCTCTGTCTGGGGTTAAAGGAGAGGGAGCCCGTCATTCCCAACCCAGCCCCACTGGGTCTCTTCAGAGCTGCCAGACAGCAGCTCCTGAAAGTGAGCATCAGGAAAATGCTGTGGTCAGCATTACAGAAGTCTCCCTGGAGGAGGTGTCCCCTGCGCTGAGGCTTAATAGCCGTGGCTCTCTCCAGACCTCAGTCTCCTTTCCTTTAAAATGGGAAGGAATCAAAATGGTTGGTTTCCAGTGGAGGGAGACTTTCCCATTTGATCCGCCAGGACCCATCCCTTCCTGGGTCTTTTCAGAGAGAACCCCTCTCCCTGGTTGGAATCCTCCTGGCCAGGAGCAGACTCTGTCATCAATCTGATAAATGGTTAAAGGGATGGGTCACCAACTGATTGTTCCCAAGAACACTATCACCATAGACTAGGAGGTGTTCAGAGCCTTGAACTGAGTGCCTTAGGCCAAAGATGCTGTGGAGGCAGAGTCCAGTTTGGAAATGTGAGCTGCTGCCCACTGCCCCTCACTTTGCCCCCTTCCCCATGCCTCTTTCAGTGTGCATGGTGAGGAGAACCAGATGGCTGCCACAGGGTCCCAGAAGCTCCGCTAGAGGTGAAGCATAGTCCTGGACTAGAGGGCTCGTGAATCCCATCCCCACCACCTCTCCGGGCCCAGACCCCTGCGAGGTGCTCTCACTGCCCAGGCAGTTGCCAACATCTGCCAGGACGATTTCAGAGAGGACGCTGAGTGCCTCCGAGCCCCGGGCGGGCAGCAGCGTTGCTGGCGCTATGGGGAGGGCTTCCTCTCCCCTCTCCCGTGTTTGCCCAGCGCTGCCCCCTTGTCTCTGAGTCATGGGCACTGCCACGCGGGTGCTCCTAACACATTAACCGGCTGGACGATGGATGGATGGGGCTTAATCTGAGATCTGGCCGCTCTGCGTGGGGGAGGAGGGTTGGGAGGAGGGGTGGGGGGGTGAGTCCCCGCTGCTGGCAGAGAAGTCCCCTCGTTCCCTATGCTCTGCTCGAACTTGTGAACTTGTCACAGGACCGCAGCCAAGTGTCACACCAGAGGTGTCTACACGTGCTGTTCTGTGTGGTGTTGGCTTCTGCAGGGAACTGGGCCGTGCAACTAACACATCACGGCCTCTCAGCTCTGGGCGCAGGATGGACGGGGACAAGTCCCCAGGGCGCGGGGCAGAGGAGGAAAATGCAAAATAGGTGCCCCTGAGCCTTTCCCAAAAGGTGTGCCCTGAGGCAGAACAGGCTCCTTGGGACATCACCCACCACGGCCTTGCCGGATCCTGCACGCCCCCACACACACCTCCCTGGCATACACATTCCCCTGCTGAGAATGGCTATGTCTCTTCCCATCTCAGGATCAAGGCCAAGGCTCTCCATTGCTCTGGAATGGGCCTGGCCCTCTGTCTCCTTCCCAGGGGCTGCATTTAAAGGGACCAGTGAGAGAGGGACAAGCTTTGAGTGTTTTCTCCCTCAAGGAAACAGCACTTTAGAGACTTATATCAGGTATTTGGCTGCGGGAGAGCAAAGAGAATGAGGCCCCTCTGAAAATACACAGAGGCACTCCAGGCTGGACTCCCACTGCAGGGGATCAGGACAGAATCTCGGCAGCAGAGGAAAGGGGGAGCTTTGGTCTGAAAAACCCAAGAGAGGCCACCCTCCCCTGCCCCCAGCTCATGATCGCCCACCCAGTCCAGCACCCCTCAGGCCCGGCCCCTGCTCACTGGAGCAGGGGACGTGTTGAAGTGGGTGACCCTGCGCTCCGCCTCACCTCCCCCAGGCCTGAAGACCATCGTGGGGGCCCTGATCCAGTCTGTGAAGAAGCTGGCCGACGTGATGGTCCTCACGGTCTTCTGCCTCAGCGTCTTTGCCCTCATCGGCCTGCAGCTCTTCATGGGCAACCTGAGGCACAAGTGCGTTCGCAACTTCACAATGCTCAACGGCACCAACAGCACCAATGGCTCCGTGGAGGCCGGCGGCCTGATCTGGGAATCGCTGGACCTCTACCTCAACAACCCAGGTGCCAACTTGGCCCTGTGGCCCCTGACAGGGTTCTGACATCCCCACCAGGACTGGGCATCTCCCACCCAGGGCCAGGCATCTCCCACAGAAGCCTCCTTCCTGGGACATCCAAGCCCTACCTGCACCCCCCCACCAGAGACCTGGCTGGGTGTCTGGGTGTCAGGGATACCGGCCCCTGCCCGCTGGGGCTCCGGGAGAGAGGACAGGAGAGGGGTCGGGGGACAGAGCTGGGACAGTTTTTGAGGCTTCGGAGTGGAGACCCCATCTGCTTGGCCTGGGCTTTGTAACTTGACGTCAGTGATCCTTGTCAGGGTGTTAGTTCCATCCGCATGCAGCCCAGGACAAGTTCTGTGATGGTGCAAAGCCATACAGGCCCCTCAGGTTCTTTCACTGCCCTGTGGGTTACACTTCCATCCTCCAGGCTGATGGCCAGCACCCTCCTTGTCTAGAGCCATCAGTCTGGACCTAAGGTTGATGGTAGATGCTGGTACGAGGCCACATGCTAGTCGACAAGGGCCCCGACAGCCATTCTGAAGTCAAGGCCTCTAACCTACACCAGCAGTCCACTTTGGAAAAATGAAATAGATGGAAACTCTGTGAGTGAATCTGCTTGTGATTCAGCTGTGGCCATGTAGCAGCAGTTCTAAAACTTTCATGCTTGCAAGAGTCACCTGGAAGATTCCGGGAAACACAGACTGCTGGGCCCCACCTCCCGGGTTTCTGAGTCAGTGTCTCTGGGAAGTTGCCTTTCTAACCAGCTCCCAGTTGGTGCTTGATGCTGCTGGTCTTGGAAAACTGCTGCCCAAGACTGAGGCAGGTAGTGGGGCGGGAGGGGGACTGATAGATGGCCACAGATGGAGGCGACACGATTGGTACCCCGTGTCTCACCTGGTCCAACCCTAGCCCTGTCTGAGCAGACCCCTGCCTCCTAGCCTGCGGCCCCTCATGGCCGAGGTTGGTCCCCTGAGTGGCTGGGGCAGGTGTAGAAGTTCCCTGTGGGGACTTCCTGAGTCCGCTGGGGACGCTGACAGCTGACTGTCTGAGGAGGGGCAAGCGGAAGGCCAGAGAAGCGGCCAGCTTCTCAGACCTGGCCAGGCAGAGGGCAGAGGTCAGGGCCGGGGCAGAGAAGCAGACGGAAGACACCCAGCGGTGCCTCTTACCCCTCCCCACGGCCAGGATGTAGGTTGGAAAGCCCAGGAGTCTGGGCCCCACATGCCCCTCATTATCAGATGCTTCTCTTCCAGAAAATTACCTACTCAAGAATGGCACCTCTGACGTGTTACTCTGTGGGAACAGCTCCGACGCTGGGTATGTACCACCCACCCCCCCAGGGCCGCCTCACCCAGCCAGGGGGATCTCCTTCCAGTGCTTTCTGTTTACGCCCTTGATGCCAGGGACAGCAAGACCTTTCCCTGGCTCTCTTTCCTGCCGGGTCTCTGGAAGATGCCCCCCCCCACCCCCACAGGGATACAGCTGGGAGAGGTGAAGAAAGAGAAGGGGGCTCACCTCTGCAGGGAGGGCAGACAGAATGCTGAAGAGAGGACCCAGGAAGCACTGCAGGGCCCCCCACCAGTCCAACCCTGGCTCCATTCCCTTCCCAAAGCCCCCCAGGGTGGCACCCTCCCCTTCCGGTCTTCACTTTCTCTGTCTTGAACTGTCCATCAGGTTAAGAGTAAGTATGGCCTCCCCTGGCAGCCTAGACTCTCCTCCAGGGCAAGCAGGGTGCAGCTCCCAGAGATGCCCAGTCGCCATGTGCATCTTCCAGGGCCCTGTGCACACCGCACCTGGGTCAGGGTACCTGTTCCACAGGGTCACACAGGCTCCCCGAGGGGAGGTGCTCTGCGGGGCAGCAGGCCTGCATGTCTGAATATGAAGTTCCGGAGCCCTTCCTGTTGCCAAAGAGAAAGTCTTCTTTTCTTAATTTAGCACATTAGCAAGGCGCAGAGGCCCCTTGGTTGCATCCTCCTACTTGCCAAGTTTCCCTTGTCCCCATCCTCTGTCTCACACTCCACTCATGGCTCCAGCCCAGTGCTCCCTTTTGGGAGAGAGACTGTCCCCTCCAGACATGGCCAGCCCCCAGACTGTCCCTCGCAGAATCATCCCACAACCCCATGGTCTGGCCTTTGCCCGGGTCTCTTCTATTCAGCCTCAGTGCTCCCCCACTGTGTCTGCCCTATGCCCAGCTCCCCTGGGGTAGGCAGGCAGGGAAGAAACCTGAGCCAGGCCCTTGACACTTCCCCTGGGAGGGGAGAGGCAATGCAGACACCAGCTGGGATGGCTTGTTGTGTGGACAGAGGGAGCTGGATTTAGGCCTCATGGCAGACAGATGAAGGGAAAAGGGGAAGACAGTGTCCTGGGTGGGAGGCACTGCATGAAAAATCAGGATGGCAGGACCCCGCTGTGTGGGGCTAGAGTCTCGGGGACAGAGGCCCCCTCCCAGCGTGGAACAGAGTCGGTGTGTCTGGCCACAGGACATGTCCCGAGGGCTACAGGTGCCTGAAGGCAGGCGAGAACCCTGACCACGGCTACACCAGCTTCGACTCCTTCGCCTGGGCCTTCCTCGCCCTCTTCCGACTGATGACGCAAGACTGCTGGGAGCGCCTCTACCAGCAGGTACGTGGGTGCGCAAGGCCACCGGGAGGGGCTGAGAGCCCAGAGCCAGGGCCCAGGCTGCACAGGTGACCAGCTACGGGCCGCCCCAGCAGCCTCCCCACTGGCCAGAGCAGAGTGGGCACAGAGGGCTCTGAGGGGCAGGGGCCCAGCAGGCAAAGAAACTGTCCTTTTGTTGGTGACCAAGGACCCAGCCCTCTGTATAAGACACTCTGCTCTGTGAGTGGGACCCTAGTTCACCCTATGTGATACAACACTTTCCTGTCAACTGGAGGATTCTGCCTCCTCCCGTGAGTGAGGCACCCTCTGTGCATGTAGGTCCCTCTCTTCTGTAGGTTAAGATGCTTCTGTCTATAGGCGGGACATGTTCTGCTGCCGCCCCACGCTGTGGCCATTTGAACCCCTGGCACAGCCAGGCTGGGCAGCGTGGAATCTACGACCATGCGTGACCCAGAAGGAGCCCCAGTGAAGATGACCTCTGCCCCCTTGCTCCTCCAGACCCTGAGGTCTGCAGGGAAGATCTACATGATCTTCTTCATGCTGGTCATCTTCCTGGGCTCCTTCTACTTGGTGAACTTGATCCTGGCTGTGGTCGCCATGGCCTACGAGGAGCAAAACCAAGCCACCATCGCGGAGACAGAGGAGAAGGAAAAGCGATTCCAGGAAGCCATGGAGTTGCTCAAGAAAGAGCAGGAGGTGAGTGAGCAGTGCAGCCAAGGAACCTCCAGAACAAGCCTTCACCTGACCATGGGTGCCTACAAGTGTGATACCTGCTGGGTCATACTGGTATCTGGGGGTGTGATGCATGTTGGGCAAAGCTGGTACCTGCTGTGTAAAACCAGTGTCTGGAGGTATGATGCATGTTGGGTACAGCTGGTGGCTGTAAGTGATGCATGCTGGGTAAAGCTGGTACCTGCTGGATAAAGCAAGTGTCTGGTGGGTATAGATATTTCCTGTAAATGTATTGTCATCTGCTGAATAAAAATTTGTTGGCTGCTGAGTGAAGACAGATCTTGTTCCTGAGGTGGGTGTAAGTGTGGTGCCTGCTGAGTAAAGGTGGGCCTTATGAGGATGGTGCCTGCTGGGGGAAAGCTCTTCCCTATGACCATGGTATCTTCCGGGTGATGGTGGTGCCAGGTGGATAAAGGTGGTGGCTCCTGGCTAAAAGTAGTCACTGTGAGCCCAGTGCATGCTGGGTAAAAGAGAATCTTGTGTCCATAGACATAGTTTATCCTGGTCAAGGGATACCTTCTGTTGGGATAGGGAGACCCCAGGTCAAAGGCTCAGGCTCAGCAAGCAAAGACTGGTAGTGCTGCCGTGGCTGTCCCCACAGTCCCACACATGGGTCCTGGTAGCTAACTGCAGAACACACCTTTTAGAAGCCAGGCCAAGGACATCCACTTCCTTCTCACTGCCCTATGTCACCTCCTCCAGCACCCATTTTGGCCAGCCAAACCTTCTAGACGATCCCCTGCCCTCTAGTTCTGTCACTTCTGCTCATCAACACCCCCAGTTGCACCTACCCAACACTCTACTCTTTCATGAGCTTGCTCCCCAAGGAAAATATTCCTTGAGCCCCCTCCCAGTCCCTCCTGTTTCCCATGGCCACTCTTAGAGTGGAGAAGCCCTGGGCAGAGGGATAGGGTGGGTTTGGGTGTTAGCCTATCCCCAACCTCAGCTAAGTCCCCAGCAGTGGAGCTGGGGGGCACCCCCATTGTGTGGGTTGGTAGGAGCTCACAGACATGCCCAGATGAGCAAGGGACGTGGCTGATTGCCGAGGTCCTGTTCGGGCCAGGCCTGTCTATACCATCAGGAGCCTTCTGCCTGCTTCTTTCCCATATAAGCGTCAATCTCAGAGCCCCAGTGAGCAGAGATCCCAGAAAGTGCAGGATTGCCTCTAATCCTGCACCCCTCCTCGGAGCACCCCTAGTTCAGCCCACTCAGTTCCTGTGTGGCAGACAGAAGCCCACAGTGCTCCAAGTTGAGCCGGGGCTGATACCGTGAGTGACAGGTCGGGAGCATGTGAAACGCTGTCCCAGTCACGTCCTCTCTCCGTGTCTTCAGAATCGTTTCAGCATCACCCACGGCCTCAGCAGGACCTCCATGAAGCCGCGCTCCAGCCATGGGAGCATTTTCACCTTCCGCCGACGGGACCTGGGCTCCGAGACAGATTTTGCAGACGATGAAAACAGCACCGCCGGGGACAGCGAGAGCCACCGCACATCGCTGCTGGTGCCTTGGCCCCTGCGGCGGCCTAGCACCCAGGGACAGCCCAGTCCTGGAACCTCAACTCCCGGCCACGTGCTCAACGGCAAGAGGAACAGCACTGTGGACTGTAACGGAGTGGTCTCCTTGCTGGGGGCAGGTGACCCCGAGGCCACCTCCCCGGGGAGTCACCTCCTCCACCCTATGAAGCTGGAGCGCCCCCTGGATACGGTGAGCCCACCCCACCACGCAGCACCAGGCACATCCCATCTCCTAGGCTGCTTGCCACAGCCAGGTCTAAAACTACTTGCCAAGTATTTACTGAGCACCTACTGTGTGCTGGGCTCTCTCCTTCCTAGACTTCCCAGACAGACACAAATCAAAGAAAGAAGAAGAAGAAGAGGGGGGGGAATATATATATATATATATATACACACACATGCATATCAGGGCTTCCCTGATGGCTCAGTGGTAAAGAATCTGCCTGCCAAAGCAGGAGACCTGGGTTCGATCCCCGGGTCGGGAAGATCCCTTGGAGGAGGAAATGGCAACCCACTCCATTATTCTTGCCTGGACAATCCCATGGACAGAGGAGCCTGGCGGGCTACAGTCCAGGGGGTCGCGAAAGAGTCGGACACTACTTAGTGACTAAACAACAAACGAATGAATATATGCATATAATGGTGATAAACAGGGATGATAGTTAAATATTTCGCAACTAGTAAGGCACTGAGACTCTAGTAGCCAAGGACCAGTGCTCTGGAGGCCCTGTGTGTCCCCGGGGGCTGGCCCTGCAGGGTTGTGGATCTTGGACAGCCTGCAGAAGGGCCAGAGTGGCAAGGGAACATTTCTGAGGTTCTTAGCAATAAGAACGTCATCAAGTTTGAAATACTTCGGCGCTTTACAAACCGGTAAATGTCGGGGAATGCTAGCCCAAACACTAAGTATTATGGTAGAACAAAAGTAGGAAAGAAAAAGGGAAACCTCCTTACTGCAGGGAGGAGGCAAGTGGAGGGGGTATTATAGCAGACAGGTTAGCACTCAGATTCTGGAGACAAACTGGGTTTGAATCTCACCTCAGTGCTTACCAGCTGCATGGCTGTGAGCAAGTATTTTATATCTCTTTGCCTCAGATCTCTTGTCTGTAAAATGGATTTAAAACAGCCACCTCAGGGCCTTCCCTGGTGGCCCAGTGGTTAAGACTCCAGGCTTCCATTACAGGGGGAATGAGTTTGATTCCTGCTGGGGGACCAAGGTCCTCATGCTGCACGGTTTGGCCAAAAATAAATAAAATACCCACCTCAGGATTGACATCAGGATGAAGGGCTAATATGCATAAAGTAATCAGGACATGCACACATATGTTGATGTGGTGATAACGACATAGTAACATACTGTCTTTGCATCATCTGGGGGAAGCATGTTCTAGGCCTAAAGAACAGCAAGTGCCAAGGCCCTGAGGCAGAAGCATGCCTAGTGTATTGGAGGACATATGAGGGCAGTGTGCTGGAAACCAGAGCGTAAAGGGAAGAGGTGTTGGAGCAACTGTCAAAAAGGTGACGGGGAGGGAGGTGCCAGATAGTGAGAGGCTAGTCAGAGCTTTGATCAGTCAGCTGATCCCATGACAGGCTGGTGACCGCCCAAGCAGTCACTAAGTGCCCTTGCTGACCGCTGCCCCCCAACAAAGGCCTCGGAGCAGCCCACCCAGGAAAAGGGCAAACATGCGGCTCAGACCCTGAGGCCGGCAGGAGGTGGAGGGGGGCAGACTTTCTGAGGAAGCAGGACAAGACGGGGAACCCTGAGCAGGAAGGTGAGGGCAGGCTGAAGAGAGAGACTGTGTCACTCCAGCTCAGATAGGTGCTGCCGCTGTGGGACTTTGCATGGGTTAATGAATTTCTCTGTGCCTCCGTGTCCTCACCTACTGGTGGTGATGGTTTAGTTGCTAAGTTGTGTCCGACTCTTACGACCCCATGGGCTGTAGCCTGCCAAGCTCCTCTTGCCATGGGATTCTCCAGGCAATAATACTGGAGTGGGTTGCCATTTCCTTCTCCAGGGAATCTTCCCAACCCAGGAATCAAACCGAGCTCTCCTGCATTGCAGGCAGATTCTTTACCGACTGAGCTATGAGGGAAGCCCTATCACCTGTTATAGAAATAAAGTTAATATCCACATCAGCAGGTTTTGGTGAGCCGAGTATGTACCATCCAGATGAAGAAATAGAAACTTTGCCAACACCTCAGATGCTCCCCCAGAATCCCTCTTCCCAGTTTCCTCCCACCGTCCTACCCAAAGTTAACCATTATCCCAACTTCTAACACCAGAATTTCATTTGGCCTGTTTTTTGTATGTTATATAAATGGAATCATAGAGCATTAAAAAAAAAAGTTGTGGCAAGGACTTAAAGAGTTAAAACCTGTCTGGTGCTTAGACCAGTACTTGCCTCATGTTCAAGGAATTATTATTATTAGCTATTATTGTTATTAGAGAGCAAGAAGGAGTGAAGACTTCAGGAGCACCTCCCGAGTGCCTGGGGCCCTTACACTGCTCTGGAGTGGGGAGTCAAGGAGAGGGTCCTGGGAACACACTGGGGGAGACCGTAGCTTCTGGGTGGGTCTGGGGAGGCCCCTGGCCATCACCTGGAGGTTGGGGTGTCCGACTTCCCAGAAACACAGATTTCCAGGGCCATGGGTCCAGCCCTGGAGCCTCAGCCTTGTGGAATCAGGTCAGCAGCTGGAGCGCTAATAGAATTTCCTAATCTCATTAGGGAGAAAATCATCTCATTGTACTGCACATGTCGGGAGGAATCCAAGTTCAAACACTTCATTACCAGGAACTCTGACTTCACCCATTCTCACTTCTGTGGGGCCCATTTGTAACCTTAAAGGGATTAGCAGGCCAAGGGGGTTATTTGAAAAGTTAAAGAGATTAGCGGGCTGTAGGCCCCTGAGGAGGCCTTCCCTGTTTCTGCTGGGCCCCTGGTAACACTCCTGCCCAGTTTTAGTCTGAAAAAAAGGCACAGTGTCGGGCACATAGTGGGTGCTTCGTCAACAGGGAGAGAGCTGACCCGACCGACAGCTGGCTTTCATTGGGAGCAGAGGGTGAAGGTTTGCTTTGCTTGCTATCTGAATATGTGCCTGGCCCCAAAGGCAGAGGGGGTGTTAGAGGCACCTTGAACAGATTCTTCTCCCTCCTCCCTTCCCCACCTCCACAGTCATCTTAAGGACAGAGCTAGAATTTAACCCAGGCCCCCGGCTGCCAAGTGTTTATCCATCCATCCAACATCTACCCAGGACCAGCCCTCTGTGTTGAGTGCCAGCCAGTGTTTAAGGCACCAAGGATATGAACAGGGCAGACAAGAGCTCTGACCTCGTGGAGTTGGCATCATAGTCAGGAAGACAGAGAGTAAACTGATCATTATTTCTAGGGACCAGTAAGGGTCATATGATAGAAAGTTGCTAGGGGGAGGGCTGGGAATGGGGAGCTATAGGTTAGAATACACAGGGAAGTCCTTTCCGTGAAGGTAATATTAAAATTGACCAGTAGAAGATTTTAGGGAGCCAGCCACAGATATGTTGAAGAATAGTGTTTTAGGCAGAGGAAACAGAGAGTGTAAAGGCATTGAAGGAAAATAAGCTTGATATATTTAAGGGATGAGAGGGCTGGGCAGGGCTAGGTGTGGTGGAAACAGAACGGAATATAAAATGAGTTGGAGCAGTTAGGGTCTAGACCGTGCAGGGCCTTGTAAGCTGTAGAGAAGTTTGGATTTGCTACGAATAAGATGAGGGAGAGTTGTTATTCAAAGGATTATCATGAACTGATTTACTTTTTAAAGGTATCTTTTTCAGCTGTGTAGAGAATAGAGGAGAGAGAAGAGGCCAGTTAGGAGGCTGTTGTAGTATTTTTGGGAAAGGGATGATGATAGCATGCCTAGAACAGTGTGTTAGTCAAGTTATTTCCACAATACTGCTGTGTAACAAACTACCCCCAAAGTCAATGGCTAACAGCAAGTGAGAATTCACGCTCCCTTCTCTGCAGGTTGACCATGGTTTCCCTGGTCGAGGTTGACCTTGGCCAGGCAGCTGTGCCTCAGACTGCACATGGCCTGGCTCCATACTATGGGTTAGGCTCAGGGATGCTCCCCTTGTGTTTGTCCTGAGCTGAAAGGGTGACAGCTACTTGGGGAAGCTCTTTTCCTGGAGGATTACTAGGACACAAGAGCAAGGTGAATGGCACAAGGACAATTAAAGCTTCTGTTCACAACATGTCCGCTGGCATTCCCTTGGCCAAAAGCAAATGTGTCACCAACAGGACAGGGAATTTTGCTTCAGTCACAGTGGGAGAGGACAGAGTAAAATCTGCTGAATGAAAACCCGAACTATCACCGATGGTAGAGGAGAGAAGTTGGGAAAATTTAAGACATGTTTGTGAGTTAAGCTGGCCAGATTTGTGGATGCACTGGACCCAGGTTACTACTGTTCCACCAGCTACGTCAACCCTCTCAGGCACCTCTGCTTGAAGACTTCCATGACTGGGAGCTTACTGCCTCCCTAGGCAACACTTTAGGACAATTCCACGGATCACAAAAGCTGACTTAACTTGAGCCCAGATCAATTTATTACCCCACCCCAGGCCCTGACCCTCCCACCCTGCGATGCCTAGGCCCATCTTCCCTCTGACCCACAGAGATTATAGTGCCTCACTCTTGCACGCTGAACAGCCCAGGGTCTTCATCAGCCCGGCCTTGGGCTCACAGACTGTGGCCATGTGTGGCCATGCTGACATGAAGCCTTTGTGAGCCCTGCTTGTTTCTGTGGGAGGCTCTGAGTAAGCCCAGTGATGGATGTTGCCCCTCTTTTCATCAGGACACACACCATCTCCATTCACAGGCCTGGTCCTTTTACTTACAAAATTGGTGCAAGCTTGTTGAAAATAGGCCCTGACCCTCCCACCCTGCGATGCCTAGGCCCATCTTCCCTCTGACCCACAGAGATTATAGTGCCTCACTCTTGCACGCTGAACAGCCCAGTGTCTTCATCAGCCCGGCCTTGGGCTCACAGACTGTGGCCATGTGTGGCCATGCTGACATGAAGGCTTTGTGAGCCCTGCTTGTTTCTGTGGGAGGCTCTGAGTAAGCCCAGGGATGGATGTTGCCCCTCTTTTCATCAGGACACACACCATCTCCATTCACAGGCCTGGTCCTTTTACTTACAAAATTGGTGCAAGCTTGTTGAAAACAAATCTAACAGTGCAGAAGTCAAAGTCCCTGCCCTCCCCACACAATCCCATTCCCCGGATATAGCCACTTTAACAATTTAGTGTGTTATCTTCCAGATCTTTTTCCTGTTTTCTCATCAAACTGTCCTGGAAGTGCTCCCGTGGGGACACGCATGCAAAACAGTCTTGCTCTCCTTATTGTCTGTGTCAGAGTCCAGAGTTGGACTGTATCCCTAGCTGATTTTAATATTCTTCCTATTGATCAGTTGTTTTGTTTTTATGTTATTAGGAACAATGCTGCAGTGAGCAGCATTGCATGCATATTTTTGGTTGCACGTGTATAATTATTTGTGAAGTTCGATTATTAGGCAAGGAACTCAGAGCCAATTGAAAATTTTCTTAGTAGATATAGCTAAGTTATCTCCACAAAAGCTCCGACCAGCTATGTCAAAGCATTGTACTTTATGCTTCCATTAATGTCACCTTAGAGCATGGTACATATTTTTTTTCAGCTTCTCTATGCTCTTGACTCTAGGGAGCTTAGGATCAATTAAGACTCCCAGATCGTTTTCATATGTACTAATGTATATGACAGCATCTGGTTAAAGAACTCAGTACATGTAGTCTCCCACCCAGGAGTCACCACTAATGAGAGATAGTGCAGGAAGAAAGAAAACGAAGGAGATAATGATTGGCCAGAGGGAAAGTGTTAACTGGGAGGGAGCTGGGAGCAGAGAAGCCCAGTGCCCAGTGTCACATCAAGACCCCTGTGGTGGCCCCCTGGGACCTCCCCAGCCTGAGTCTGGGGCAACTGCCCCAGGTCCAGGTGGACCCCCATCCATCCCCAGGCTGATGCAGATCTCCTGGTTACACCCAGACTACGCCATCGGAGGAGCCAGGCAGGCCCCAGACGCTGACGCCCCAGGCTCCATGTGTCGACGGCTTTGAGGAGCCAGGAGAGCGGCAGCGAGCCCTCAGCGCAGTGAGCGTCCTCACCAGTGCCCTGGAAGGTCAGCACCCCAGTGTCATCCAAACACCCCTCTCCACCCTGCTTCTGGTCTGAGCCATTATCCGGACCTGAGCCTGGCTCGCCCCAGCTGCTGAGCCTGCCTTGAGCATCCCCATAGCTGTCCCAGACTTTTCAGTCTCTGTCGCCTGTCCTGGGTGTCTGTTCATCTGTGCCAGCTTGTTTTGTCCTGGGCATCATCAGGAGCCATGCCCGTGTTTCTTCCAAACGTCCTTGCAGCCGCCCTGGCCCATCCCAGGTGATCACTGGTCTCATCCTGTCCTCTGCCGCGTATCCACAGGTCTTCTGGGGCCATCCCCACCCCAAGCAGGCCTGTTCTAGCTATTCCCCATCATTCCCCAGGCTAGTCCAAGCATCCCACGTCTGTCTCAGCTAGTCCCACTTTAAGCAACCCCACATCTCTTTCATCCTGAGCCCCCTGATTTGTTCCCTCCTGTCCCATATGACTCCTGTCCCAGGCACCACCCACACCCCACATCTCTCCTGACACATCCCAGATATCCACATCTATTCCTACCTCTTGGGTCCTGCGTGTCCTTATATCTGCACTTGCCCATCTCAGATGTTGTCTCTGCCTGTCCTCCCCCGAGAGGCCCCACATCTGTGTGGCAGTGTTGTCTCCAGAGAGCCCACACCTGTCCTAATCTGTCTTGTCCCCATTTTCCCCATACCCATCCTGGCTTTCTGTCCCTGTGGCCCCCTTTTCCCACATTCCAAGAGGAAGAAGTCAGGACGCAGCCCCGCTTCCCCTTAGCCTTCCCTGGCCCGCTCTCTGTCCTCCTGTCATCCGCTGGGTACGTCATACAGCTTTGCTGGAAAGTTATGTGACGCAGTCAACAGAAACAAGCCAGCTCACTGGCTCTCCCCGCCCCCTGCCCCCAGAGTTGGAGGAGTCTCAGCGCAAGTGTCCACCGTGCTGGATCCGTTTCGCCCAGCACTACCTGATCTGGGAGTGCTGCCCGCTGTGGATGTCCATTAAGCAGAAAGTGAAGTTCATGGTCATGGACCCATTTGCTGACCTCGCCATCACCATGTGCATCGTGCTTAACACACTCTTCATGGCCCTGGAGCACTACAACATGACGACCGAATTTGAGGAGATGCTGCAGGTCGGAAACCTGGTAAGTACCGCTGGCAGCTTACTCTCAAATGGGCATCGTGGCGTGAAGGGCTCTTGGCCAGCTCGCACAGCCTTTGTGGGTGAGGGAGGAGGGACTCCGAGCACAAAAGGGTCTTCTGAAGATAGGCATCTCTATGGAAGACATTCTGGTAGGAGCCTCAGGATCAGTTTTCGAGGAGCTGGGCGATGCAGTTGGGAGTGAGAGGTTAGGGATAAAGATGCCCAAAGGCTAGAAAACAAAAGTGAGTTGAGGGGAACCTGAAATGTGTGGGGACATGGGGTGTGGCAGTAATGGAGGAGGAGAATGTGCCAAAAAGAGGCAATTCTCTTAGGGAAAGGATGGATGGATGGTAGGATGGAGAGAAAGGAGGAAGGGAAGGATAGAGATGGATGGCTGGCTGGCTGGGTGAATGGAGTGAGTGACTAAATCAGGCAGAGACAGATTTGAATTCTGACTCAGTCTTACTATATGACCTCAAGCAAATTACTTAGTCTTGGTAATTGGTACAGTAAGTATTTGTTGAATTTAATAAATGTAAAATTAGTATGACAATATCAAACTCAGGAAGCTAATGAGGATTGAATAAGATAATGTGTGTAATGTGCTTGGCTCAGAGTTTGATAAACAATAAGCACTCAAAATAAATGATGGCTGTGGTTGTTATCTTTGTTGTTATTGAAGAGACTATCCCTGGAAGTCAGAATGTGTCAGTTCTAATTTTAATTTTTTTTTCTTGACACCAAATCAAGTCCTAGCTCTTCACTCTAAACATGGAAAACTGAGGCCAGAGAGGTGACATAGTGGTGGCAGGGCTGGGCGTGTGGCTACTGTCTCCTGACCTTAGAGGGCAGGGTCCTGCTGGCTCTGTCCAGGTAAATGCAGGGTTGGCCCTTCTGCAGCAGATCCCAGGGCAGGGCTGCAGAGAGCCCGCTGGCTTCTGGAAGGAGCTCCTAGGGTCATTGCTGAGGTTGAGTGGGCAGAGCGCTCATCCAGTCCAAGCTCTCTCCTCTTGCAGACCCAGCCCAGTCTGTCTCAGTCCCAGCTCCACAGTGGCCCCCACGGGCAGGCAGGTCTCCTACACTGTGGAGTGTGAGGATCGTTTTCCCTCATTACTTTCCATATCCAGAGCTCTAGGTAATTCTCTACAGGGTCTATTCACATTGTTTCACAAATGTGAGTCTGTTTTGCTATGGTTCTACTTTTCTTTCCTTCTTCTGTATATAAACAGAAGGAAAAGCTAGCTCTCAGTCTGTAGGAGTCTCTTTGCACAATTGTGCCTGCCTTGTATTGGGTGGTCTCCAAGTGATGGTTATGTAGGGTTTCAGCTGAATGCAGTTTTAATGGAATGTGACCATTGGGTTGGACTGAGCCATAAGTCAAGGTGATGAAGAGCACCAGTGGCTTCCCTGGACCACTAAGTTGTGATTGAATTGCGATTGTGTTAAACTTGTGGTTAGTTTATTAGTAATAGGTCGTGTCTTTGGATTACAGCTATTCTTTTCTGTTTGAATAGCTTTATTATTAGTATGTAAGGTTTTAATTGTCTTGCAGTTAATATATTCTAGATGGTTTAAATATTCAATGTAAAGAAAAAAAACCACAAATAAAAGCATGGGTAAATAATCTTGGTGTGAAAAAAGCCTTTCTAAGCATGTCGCTAAAGACAAATTCCATAAAGGAGAAGATTGATAGATTTAACTAGCCCATGATATAAACAAAGGTAAAAGGCAAATGAAACATCTGTTTTTAGCAAGAAAACCTGAGATGTCTCCAACTACAAAACAATTTAAAATATAGCAAATATTCTTTGACACGCATAGCAAAGTTCATGAGAAAGAAACAAAAATCCCCAAGTGCCAAAAACAAAGAGGGACTTAAAAACCGTAGCAGTAAACATGTGAGATCGTTATATAGTTGCTTTAGGGGGTGGGACAGGTGCTGATCGAGTGATTTTGGGGGCTTGGATTTCAGTGATCATGCAGAGGCAAGACTTGTGTTTGGGACAGTGCAAGTAGGGTTTGGAACCGAGTAGCCCCATAGGAATATGACCCTACATTCAATACAATGGTGAACTATAAAAAATTGACATGCTGGCCCTGGGAAATGATAAAGAAGGAAGGCTGTCAGTCTCAGGCAGGGCTGGAGAGAGGGGCTGAAAAAAAGTAACCCTCGGATGCTTGTGACTATGAATTTGGCTTTATACAGATTTGGGAGTTTGAATTTATACCTGACTGTTCCTGGAACCTGTTTAAAAAATTAACACACAAAGAGATTCTAGTAAGCATAGTTAACACTTGTTGAACACCTAATTCTTTATAACAACCAGTAAGGGAAATGCTATTATTATTACCCCTATTTTACTGATGGGGCTTCCCAAGTGGCTCAGTGGTAAAGAACCCACCTGCCAACGCAGGAGACGCGGGTTCAATCCCTGGGTCAGAAAGATCCCCTGGAGAAGAAAATGGCTACCCACTCCAGTATTCTTGCCTGGGAAATCCCATGAACGAGGCGGCCTGGCAGGATACAGTCCATGGGGTCGCAAAAGAATGGGACACGACTCAGTGACTAAACAAAAACACCATTTTACTGATAAGGTAACAGAAGCACAGAGCGGTCACACAGCCGGGAAGTGAAAGCCCCACGGTTAAAACCCAAGCCTTTCGTTTTTAGAGCCCATGCTTTCCCCTAGTAGCTTGCACGGCTGTGCCGCGGCTCTGGCTTTGTTCCCGTCTCCCTGCTTCCAGTCCAAATTATGCTGGAGTCCTTATCAGTGTAGTAAGAGAAGAAAAAGAAGAAAGAATGGAAGCAAACAGATCCAATGTTATTTCCTAGATTATGTTGTTGTCTAGAGAAACAATCCAAGAAAATCTACAGAAAGAATATTAGAACTAGTAAGAGAGTTCAGCAATGCTGGTAGGTACAGGCTCAATTCAGTTCAGTTCAGTTCAGTCACTCAGTCGTGTCCGACTCTTTGCGACCCCATGAATCGCAGCTCAATATATTGAAATTAATTATGCTCCAAGCCACCATGGGTGATCATTTGGAGAGAGGAATTTATGAGTTAATACAGTAGCAATAAAAACTGAGGGATATAGGAATAAACATAGCAGAAGATTATAAATTTGATGTGAAAAATTATAAAACCATTGAAAAACAGTTCATTTAGTGCAGCAATATGTGATTTTCATGGATGAAAGTCTGAATATTATAGAAATACAAGTTCTTACCAAATTACACCTAGATGCTTGGTATAATTCTGATAAAACCCCTAACATACTTTTACCCATGGGATTTGACAAGGCAATCCTATAATTCATATGGAAAAGTAAAGTCTGTCAAGATAAATTTAGGAATTAGGTGAGGAGCTTACCCTGCATGCGTACATGCTAAATTGCTTCAGTCATGTCCGACTCTTGTGACCCTATGTACTGTAGCCTTCTAGGCTCCTCTGTCCATGGGGATTTTCCATGCAAGAATACTGGAGTGGGTTGCCGTGTCCTCCTCCAGGGGATCTTCCCAACCCAGGTATCAAACCCACGTCTCCCACATTGCAGGCAGATTTTTTATCGCTGAGCTACTGGGGAAGCCCGAGCTTACCTCCCATGTATAAAATATATTGTGGTATTTTCATTCCGTGAAACACTATGCACAATTAGAAGGAATACATATATGTCTTTCAATATGGATAAATCTCACAAACATGATGTGAAGAATAAAAGGAACTTGCAAAAAAAAGAATACATATGGCATGGCCCCTTTATATAAACCTTAAAACCAGGCAAAAATACTACATATCAAAACTGTAGAAACATGCATGATAGCGATTACCTTGGATTTGGTGTAGTTCTGTGGAGTGGGTTGCCATTTCCTTCTCCAGGGGATTTTCCCGAGCCAGGGATTGAAGATTGAACCTGGGTCTCTCGCATTGCAGGCAGACGCTTTGCCATCTGAGCCCCCAGGGAAGCCCACAGAGGTACCTGCAAGACTCAGTTAGGTATTTGGCGTTGTTGCTCTAGAAGGGAAATGAAGTTGCTCAGTTGTGTCCGACTCTGTGTGACCCCGTGGACTGTAGCCTACCAGGCTCCTTAGCTTTACCATCTGAGCCCCCAGGGAAGCCCTTCCTGTGACTAACAATGCAGCAAAGAGAGCTTCCTTGGACATGCCTCCTTATACAGACATGTGAGACTTTCTTAAGAATATACATATCTGACATTGTTACAGCTTAGGGTATGCATAGCTGTGACTTACCAGATACTGTACAACTGTTCCCTAAAACGGTTGTGCCAAATCCATGCTCTTACAGACTGTGAGTTCCCACTGTTTCGTATCGTTGCCAGCACACAGAAGTTTATTTTTGATTCTCTTATGGGTGAGAAATAGTAACTCAATGTTGATTTAATTTGCATTCTTCTGTGTTTCATTTGTTTATAACCACCTGAATTTCCTCTTCTGTCATTTCCTCCATCCATTCTTGTGGTTGTGTTTTTGCCACTGAATTGTCCCTCTTCTCCTTACTGATGTGTAAGCATTCAATATATATTCTGGATTCCATGTCTTTCCAGTTAAATACTTTTCATAACTTCAACTTCCAGTTTGTGATAGTGATTTCACTTTGTTTACTGTATCATTTACTATACAGATATAAATTTTAATATATGTAAATTTAGCAGTCTTTTCTTTCATGGTACAAACTTTCTGTGTTGTTAGAGAAAGCCTTCCCAACCTCCAAATTTTAAATATATCCCCCCATTTTTATTCTAGAAAGTTTCAATTTTTATTGTATTTAGGTACTGAATCCATTTCCCTGCAACTAATTAATTAATATAGTGTGGGGTAGGAATCTAAACTTATTTTCTTCCATAGAGGTAACCATTCTTCTCAGCATTGTTTACTGAATAGTCTGTCCTTTTCTTACTGATTTAAAATGTCATCTCAGCTATTTATCAAGTCTCCAAATATGCATTTCCTATTTCTGAGTTCTTAATTCTGTAGCTCTAGTCTGTTTTTCTATATTTGCACCAATATTATAAGAAAATCACAATGTATATAATGCATTTATTGCAAGGCATAAAGTACATTTATTTATGAACAACACCCAAAAAAGGCAAGCACCCTAACAGGAAAATAAGTAAAGGATACAAAGAGGCAACTTTTACAAAAGGAGAAATTTTAAAAACTGAAGAAATGTCCAACAAAACAACAATAAAAAATGGCATTTGTCCTGTTGAACTGGAGAGGTGAGTGAGACAGGAATTAGCATCTTTATAAGGAAAACAGTTTTCCCACGTGGTTCATGAAATTGGTTAAAACCTATCTCTGAGGATCATTTAGCACCTATGTGTCAGAATCTCTAAAAATGCTTGTTGACTGTGCAATTCTGTTTCCAGAAATTTATAATAAGAAATGAATTGGACCAAGGATCATCACTGGTATTGTAAGAGTATAGGAGCAAAGCTGGGTAGTTTAAGATGTGCAGAGAACAGCAGCCAGACCTGGGTTCCAAAGCGGGGTCTGCCATGGGGGAATCTTGGGCCAGTTTCTGCATCTCTAAGCCTTGTGTGTCCTCATATGTAAAATGGGGAGAATAATAACTCCATACGCTGTTTATAAGAGTTAGAGTTCAAGGTTGTCAACTGGATGCTACCTATGAGAGGGTGGTTATTGTTCTCTTTGGCCTCATTTATTATGACTGCTGAGATCTCCAGGCCCCAGCAGAGGCTTGAGATACAAACAGCTCTTCATGTTTTATAAGCTCACTGGGATCTGACAGACAGGCTGTGAGTGTGGGCACCCACCTCCCCTGACTCCCAGCAGATGGTTCACAGAGCCCTCAGTGCTAATAGTGGCTTCCCAGAAAGTGGGAAGATTTTGCCTACAAAGGTCTGTCTAGTCAAAGCTATGGTTTTTCCAATAGTCATGTAAGGATGTGAGAGCTGGACAATAAAAAAGACTGTGTGCTGAAGAATTGATGCCTTCAAATTGTGGTGCTGGAGAAGACTCTTGAGAGTCCCTTGGACAGCAAGGAGATCAAATCAGTCAACCCTAAAGGAAATCAACCCTGAATATTCATTAGAGGGACTGATGCTGAAGCAGAAGCTCTAATACTTTGGCCACCTGATGTGAAGAGCCGACTCATTGGAAAAGACCCTGATGCTGGGAAAGATTGAAGGCAGGAAGAGAAGCAGATGACAGAGAATGAGATGGTGGGATGGCATCACTGATTCAATGGACATGAGTTTGAGCAAACTCTGGGAGATGGTGAAGGACAGGGAAGCTTGGCATGCTGCAGTCAATGGGGTCACAAAGAGTCGGACACAACTGAGTGACTGAACAACAAAACTCTAACCTTGGCTTATGTCTATAATAGGATCATTCTGTACACATTATAAACTTACTTTTGAAACATAACACCTTGTGAATGTCCTTTCATGCCAATTAAACATCATCTACAGCATCGTTTTTTTTTTTTTCTGTAAGAAAAATAGTTGTGGGATATTCTACTGTACAGATGAGCCATAAGTAGTTTAACCATTTCCTTGTGATGGACATTCTTTTGTCCCTATTAAAAACATTGCCATAATGTTCTTCTCCTGGTTCTCAAATTTATGAGCTACTTGACTCCAAGCACATTACTTAACCTCTCAGTGCCTCAATTTCCTTACCTGTAAAATGGGTTTAATGCTACTTTTCTTGCCGGGTTGTTAGGCAGGTTAAAAGAAACAACTTGGTCTAAGCATTCTAGCCCAGCTCTAGGCACATAGTCAAGCCCAAGAAATGGTGGCTGATTGTTGTTTGAGAAAAGCCATCACATGGATAGGGAGGAAGTGGGAACAGCATGGGCGAAGGTGCTGAGCCATGGAAGCATGAGTGTTTGTGGAAATGTGTGAATTTGGTGTGTGTGAAGCAGGGAAAATTTCCTGTGGCAACATGGGCTTGAACAAGTCTGGAGCTGGGTGGTGTCAAGGTCCATCCCAGCCTCCCCTGATCCCAGGTGCCTCCCAGAACTGTCAGTCTTTCAAGCCTGCAGTGGGCTTGGCTGTTGTTGAGGCCCAGGCTGGTGGGTCATGTCTGGGAAACAGCAGAGTTGGCTGGAGGCATCGGGTTGGGGGTGTCCTCAAGGAAGTGGGCCAGGCCCAAACAAGCACCCCCTGGGATTCTGGGCACAGTCAGAGCTGGCAGCCCTGGAGGGGGACCCTCCTGGAACAAGAGTTAGGAGGTAGGGAGACCCTGCTGCCAGAGGTTCTTACCAGCCTAAATGTTGGGAACTCCTCCTTCCCACTCCCTCCCAGGTCTTCACAGGGATCTTCACAGCAGAGATGACCTTCAAGATCATCGCCTTGGACCCCTACTACTACTTCCAGCAGGGCTGGAACATCTTCGACAGCATCATCGTCATCCTCAGCCTCATGGAGCTGGGCCTGTCCCGCATGGGCAACCTGTCGGTGCTTCGCTCCTTCCGCCTGGTACCCGCCTGGGCCTGGCAGGGGTGGGCGGGTGGGGCCCTGGGGCCACTGAGGCGTGCCCTCTCTGAGGCCATCACTCAGTCGCCCCTGCTCTGATCCTTCATACCTTCACCCAGAGGCTGTTCTCTAGGTACAGCATAGGCTCGTATGGGCAATGTGGGAGACACAGGGGTGGGCGAGGGAGATATCCCTCCCTCCAGAGGGCCATTTGTGGTGGTATCCATCCTGATGAGTTGCAAAGCCCTTTATGGTTCACCATGCTCCTTTTAGTCCTCACAGTATCCCAGGAGAGGAGCTAGTGTTACTGCATTCCCATTCTACCCATGAGGAGACTAACACTGAAAGGCAAGACGGTTTTCCAAAGCTGCATGGCAGGTAACAGGTGGAACCAAGTCTCCTGACAGCTCACCTGGGTCTCTACCTGCTTGTTTTAAAATCTGCATTTTTGAAACTTTACTGTGCACACGAATTGCCTGGTGATCTTGCTAAAGTTCCAATGTGGATTCAGCAGGTCTCAGATAATGTCAAAGCCATGAGTCTCTGGACCATGTTTTCAGTTCACGCTGTCTAAGAGGTCCAGGCATGGGGCTGGAAGTAGGTCAGGGAAGGCTTCCTGGAGGAGGTGGCTTCAACTTGGGCTAGGAAAGCAGAATGGTTGGGGCAAAGGAGAAAGCCCAGGCTGTGGATTCTAATCCCAACTCCACTGCCAAGATCCAAGGGATTTAGACAGTTACTCCACCTCTAAGGTTGACTTCTTCATCTGTCAAATAAGATAATAATAGCACCATCTTCATGTAGTTATTTAGAGTTCCTAATTAGCTGACCCAAGCATTAGGCCTGGCACAGCAGTTGTTCAATAAATGCTCAGCACTGGTTACCTTTCTGTATGATAACTGAGAGGAGGGATATATGGAGTTGACTGGGCGAGTCAGGGATGGTTTGAGCTTGGTTGGAAGGACCCCTGATGAGGAAAGTTCTGGAAGAGGGACATTCCATGATGGGGGAATCTACTGGGTGGTTCCTAGAAGTGAGACCAAGGTGAGTAGAAGGCTGGTGTGGGGACAAATAGAAGGGGTGGCTGGGGAGGAGTCTGGAGCTGTTGGCCTGACTCCCAGATCAGAGCCCAGTGAAACTGCCTTCAGGCTCTGGAGAGAAACAGTAGTGTGTGCTCTTGGAGAGAGGGGAGAAACAGGTGTTGGTGACCTCCAAGGGAGCCCTGGGTTTTCAGACAGGAGCTAGGGGCATGAGGGTGTCCATGGGCAGTGGGAGCCAGAGGCCCTCACAAGGACCCCTCCTTCCCTAGCTTCGGGTCTTCAAGCTGGCCAAATCCTGGCCCACCCTGAACACACTCATCAAGATCATTGGGAACTCGGTGGGCGCGCTGGGCAACCTGACGCTGGTGCTGGCCATCATCGTGTTCATCTTCGCTGTGGTGGGCATGCAGCTCTTCGGCAAGAACTACTCAGAGCTGAGGCACCACATCAGTGACTCAGGCCTTCTGCCCCGCTGGCACATGATGGACTTCTTCCATGCCTTCCTCATCATCTTCCGCATCCTCTGTGGAGAGTGGATCGAGACCATGTGGGACTGCATGGAGGTGTCCGGGCAGTCACTATGCTTGCTGGTCTTCCTGCTTGTTATGGTCATTGGTAACCTTGTGGTAAGTTGGCCAGAGACCTCTCTCATACTCACTCACCTACCCATCCATTCATCTCTCTAGCTACCCATCCACCCAATCATCCATCTGTCCATTCACTTACCCTTCCTTCCATCCATCCACTCCCTCTGTCAGTTTTCTATCAAATCACCCATCCACCCATCAATGTTATCCATCCATCTACTCATTTACCCATCCTTCCACCTCTTCATTCATTCATGGGCTTCCTTGGTGGCTCAGTGATAAAGAAGCTGCCTGCCAATGCAGGAGACACGCAATCGATCCCTGGGTTAGGAAGATTCCCCTGGAGGAGGAAATGGCAACCCACTCCAGTGTTCTTGCCTGGGAAATCCCATGGACAGAGAGCCTGGTGGGCTATAGTCCATGTGGTCACAAAAGAGTTAGACATGACTTAGCAACTAAACAACAACAGCAATATTCATTCATTCACCCATTTACCCATCCATTCATGTATCCATCTATTACCCATTCATTCTTTTCATCTCTCTGCTCATCCATTTACTCTACCTATCCAGCTATCTATCTACTCATCAATAACCCACCTGTCCATCTGTCTACCTCTCTTATCAATCTATTAAGTTACCAATCTGCCTATCCATTTATCCACCCCCTCACCCAGCCATCCACCCATCAACCCCATCTACTCATTCACTTACCCACCCATTCATCTATCCATCAACAGTCCATCTATCAATCCCCATTCATTCACACACATGTGCACCTGTTCATCCATCCATTTGTCCATCTATCTACACACCCATTCACTCACCCACACATCCATCCATTCATTCATCCATCACCCATCTTTCCAGTCACTCATCTATCCCTCCGCTCATTCATCCATTTCTACATCCATCTATCAATCTGCTTATCTATTCATTCATTTGTCAATCCCATCCATCTACTCATTTATCCAACCAGTTATCACTCATTAAGCTATCTATTCATCCACATCACTCTTTATTTGCTCATTCATTCATTTACCCATCTATTTACCTATTTATTCTTTATGTATTCAGTTTATATCCATTAATTAATTATTTGCTCAGCTACTCATTACTTTATTAGCTATTCACTATCTGATTTATCACCTGATTCAATTCAGCTTAACAAACATTTGCTGAGCCCCTGGTGCATGCAGAATATTGTGCCAGATGCTGTTGGGTATACAGAGGTGAATGTGGCCCTGACTTTGCTCGTCACCTTCAGAGAGTGAGCAGGTGGAGAGTTCAAACAGGCCTGAATGAAGCTGCTCAGAATGATCAGAGCCATTAAGGGGGAGACCATGGGTACTGATTCCTTTCAGCTAGGGAAATCAAGGAGGCCTTTCTGGTAGAGGAGACCTGCTGACCTGAAAGACAAGTGCTGCTAGAGAGGGAAGAAGCAGGTTAAGCAAAGCATAGGTGCAGGCAGGTGGTGGTCCAGGTGAGGTGGGGCCCGAGGGAGCCTTGTATGTCACCCTGGGTAGCTGTGGTGAGAAGCCCTGCTGTCCTGTCATAAGGAGCCAGGTCTTTGCCCTCTTGGTCACCTGTCTGTCCCAGGGTGAGTGCACCTTGCCTTGTGTCTTTACAACGTGGGAAATTTTTAGAGTTGAGAGAGATCAAAATCTAAATGCCAGAGATGGAGCCTTTGGAAGAAGCAAGGTTGAGAGGGGTGAGTGGTTCAGGGAGAAGTCAGTGTCCACTGCGGACATGCAGCCTTCTTCCTGGGTGTACAGCGGGACCACACACAGTCCACCTTCACAGCTGCAGGGTCTGGCTCCCACGGCCCATGGTGTAGGCAGCGCAGGCTCCGCAGCAACTCACAAAGAGGTTTTGGGTGATGTGAGTACCATGGGCTGCAGATTCCAAAGCCCTTCTCAGGCTTGCCTGCTTTCTCCTCCCATGTGCCTTAAGCAGACCGGGCTAGGCTCAGGCTGAGTTGAGGTCCATCTCCCTCGGGCTCAGTGGGTGGAGCCCAGAGAGAAGCAGGGTGCTCAGTGCCCATGGAATCCATCTCTTTCTTTGGCTGGCCCCGCAACCCACTTCCATTCCTTCAAACCCACACCGCCACTCGGGGTGCCCCTCACTCAGCTCCTGGCCCAGCCCCAGGGTGCCAGACTCTTGTGTGTTCCAAGGAGGATGTGAGTGCACAGAGCTATCAGCCCAGGGCCAGGCTGAGCTGCCCTCACGCACACACAGCCTGCGATTTCCAAGCGGATCTGCCTGGGGATGAGAAGATTAGAGGCTGCTGGAGGAGGGAAGCAAACGCAGCCCACGCGGCCCCCTCCCTGGCCGCCTCAGGAATTGGGCCGCTGCCGGGCGTGGGTGGAAGCAAGATTGCCATTGAAATGGGAAGTGATGATCAGGCAGGGGCCAGGGAGCAGCAGCGTGTGATTGACGGGGAAAGCACCGGAAGCCGGTGAACTTCCGAAGCCGGGGGCAAGGAAGGCCCTGGCATACTCTGTGGGCGGAGGAGGCTGCCCAGGCACCCCCTGCCCCACCCCCAGTCTGGCCCCAGACTCCTGGTGATCAGGTGTTAAGCCAGGCGTGAGCGAGGGCTGTGGTGGGTGTATCCAGGGTGGGCTACCAGGAACAGAGGCAGGTCAGGTCTGGGCCAGTGTGGACAGAGGCCAGGGGCCTAGCCAGGGGTCAGTGTAGACAGCAGCTCTGAATCCCATCACATGCTTCACCGCCCCAGTGACGACATTAAAAAAAAAAAAAAAAAGGCTGCCAGGTGTCACAAGCGATCATCTCTCCATGGATATAGGACAGGAGAGACCACTTCTTAACCTTTTCATACTGTCCACATGAATGAGTGTTACTTTAGAAACCAAAGGCAGCTTTCTGAGGCCTGGCACGCCAGTCTTGCCCACTGCCTTCGCCAGAATTCTCCTTCCCAGCTTGCTGACAGGCGTGTCTCAGGGGCTTGTGAGAAGCCAGGGCAGGAGGGATTCAGATTGGGTGTCCACCTTCACACACCACCCTGCCGTAGAGGTCCCCATCTGACTGGGCTCCCTTCTGGGAGTGGCTGGTGGGGGGAGAACAAGCCCAAGGTGCGGGAGGTTGCTTCTCTAGCCCATTGGCCTGGTGGTGCCCGGGAGCCAGTCTGCCCCCTGTGTGGAACAAGCCCGCTGCCATCTTCAGTTACCCTCCCCAAGACCCAAGCCCAGTCGCTTGTCACTCAACAGAAGTTTGCTTTTTTAACCAAAACTAAAGCTTCAGACTTGCAGGATGGTTTAGCAACAAGCAGTAGTCGAGAACCATCCAAAGACAGAAGGATTTTGCAACCCCTCCTTAGGGGTCTCAGATCCATAATAGTAAGTCTATGTCTTTTGGCACCTCTGAGGCCTCAGCCCCTCCCCTGACTCCCTGCAGCATATGGGCACTGGAGCCAAGGCTGGCCCCTGGCACCAGCCCCAGGTCTCTCCACTCCATCCCAGTTGTCTAGTGTTACACAGCACCCACCCAAGCACCCTTCACCACCTGGACACGACAACCCCCTCTCAGTGGCTTGGCCCTGCAATTAGTCCCGGGAGCTGCCACCTGGCCTCTTCTCCTGCCGTCGCCCTCTTCTATGCTCAGTATCCCATGTCCTTCCCCTGGGGAGCATAGTAAGATCGGGGGACACCAGTGGAGTGTGCTCCACAGCAGGAGCCCCCAGATGTTTGAGTGGGGAACTAGCTTCAGTGGGGAGCTCAGAGGCACATCACTGTCCCTCCTTCACCAACAGATGCACAGGCCCCTTCCCAGGAGGACCCCAAGAGCAGATGAGCGATGGATGGGTGGGCAGATGAATGGATGCCCTGGGTTGCTTCTGGGTTGGGAGTCTGTCTTTTCCCTGGTAATCCCAGCTTGGATCCCGCTTCCTGGGGAGCCGTCCTGTGCTCACCATGACTGTATGCGTACATGCTAAGCTGCTTCGGTCGTGTCTGGCTCTTTGCAACCCCGTGGACTGTAGCCCCTCCAGGCTCCTCTGTCCATGGGACTTTCCAGGCAAGAGTACTGGAGTGGGTTGCAATGCCCTCCTCTAGGGGATGTTCCCAACCCATAGATAGAACCCCTCTCTCCTGCACTGCAGGTGGGTTCTTTACTGCCAAGCCACCAGGGAAGCCCTCACCATGACTACATGGGCCCCCATTATTCCCAAGACAGCATGGCAGTATCTGAAGGCTTTGACATCAAAGGAACCCACGGTTCTCCCATTGAATGTGCACCAACGCCCAAGAAACCTGGTCTGAATGCCCTCAATTCAGACTATATCTGAACCCTTGGGAGGAGGGGTTGATTCTGGTGGTGAAAAGCTGGAAGAAGGACCTCGGTTCTTCTTTGAAGAAAGGATTCAGCAAAGAGACCAAGACTGTGAAAAAGATAAAAGCGTTTATTAGAAGCAGAGTGCGTGTGGAAGAGCAGAGCAGACAGGCGAGTTAGGAGGGAGCAGCTTAGGTTGCTTAAATCGGGCAGTTTTCCATTGTTGTATTTTTTTTCTAGCCAGTCATCTCCATATCTGTTCCTAGTGTGGACACGCGTCTCTCAGCCAAGATGGATTCTAGCTGGCCTATTCTCACTCCTTTTGTCCTTCCCTTAGATCGCAGGCCTTCTCTGCATGTGTGTTGGGCCGGGACACCCATGAGAACACACCCAGTCAGGACCCAGTGCTCCTGCTGGTCTCCCAGCTCACAGCATGAGCAGGAGACCAGCCGCAGCTGCTCAGTCCAGGGCCCGTGTATCTCCTACCTCAGGATGAGAACTCGTCTTTCCTTTTAGAGCCATACTCTCTATATTGAAGGGACTGGGTGCTTAGAATGAGGCCCCCGGGTCTGAGCCTGGCACTCTTTGCTTCTGGCCCTCCTCAAGGGTTCTCCATCCTGAGCGCCCAGGGCTTGGCGTTGTCTCCACAGGTCCTGAACCTCTTCCTGGCTCTACTGCTCAGCTCCTTCAGCGCGGACAACCTCACAGCCCCCGACGAGGATGGGGAGATGAACAACCTCCAGCTGGCCCTGGCCCGCATCCAGCGGGGCCTGCGCTTCATCAAGCGGACCACCTGGGACTTCTGCTGTGGGCTCTTGCAGCGGCCGCCTCAGAAGCCCGCGGCCCTCGCCTCCCAGGGCCAGCTGCCAGGCTGTATCGCCACCTCCAGCCCCCCGCCCCCACCAGAGGCCGAGAAGGCGCCCCCAGCCCGCAAGGAGACGCGGTTTGAGGAAGGCCAGCGGCCAGGTCAGGGCGCATCCGGGGATGCCGAGCCCGTGTGTGTGCCCATCGCCATGGCCGAGTCAGACACGGAGGACCCCGAGGAGGATGAGAACAGCCTGAGCACAGAGGAAGAGTCCAGCAAGCAGGTGAGCCCCCAAACCCTGCCCCTCGTGTGTGTGAGCGCCACCTCCTGTCTGGGGGACCCAGCTTCACTAGGAGCAGTTGCCCCAGTAGGGATGGCCTGGAGGGAGAACTCAGGCCATCGCCCCAGAACCAGCCTCTTGGAGGCATGCTGAGACCAGTCCTCAAGGCTGTCTCCCCAGCCCCGCCCAGGAGGGCATCTTCAGAGGGACTGCTGTCTATCATTCGGCCCCTGGCTGCTCACGGGCAGCCAATTGTTCAGAGAGGGAAACCGAGGCACGACAAGACAGACAGACATGCTAGGAGTTCCTCGCATGTCTAGGACAGAGCCAGGAACCCTGGCTCCCAGACCCAACCCTGACCTTATCCCCTCCAAGACTAACAAGGCGGAATATCTTGGTGAGTGGGGGAGTGCGGCCTCCTGACCTCGCCACGGCCCCCTCCCCTCCCCCCAGGCCCAGGGCTCATTCTGAGGTTTAAAAATAAGCATCCCTAAGATGGCAGGTGTCAGAGACAGCCCTATCTTATCTCCCAACCTGTTATTTTTAACACTTAGGACAGGAGTCTGAACAAAAGGGACAGTGCACCCCACCCCCACCCCGGCTCCCTCAGTGTTCTCACGGCCTGAGCCCAGGTCCTTGACAGTGAGGACTGGGTCTCTCGGTTTCGTTGGGCCCACGCTGGCCACCTCCTTGGGGCCTGCACTGGGTGGGTCTGGCTGAGAAGAGCAGCTGCTCCCCTGCATGGAATTTGATCTGCGGCTCCAGGCTTGATTCCACAAGCTCCTGCCTTCCTGTGGTCCCAGAGGCCAGCTCCTGCCCTTTCAGGCAGGCGGCAGGACGGCCACCGTGTCAGCTGGGGGAGGGGAAGGGCTGGTGTTGCCAGAACCACGGCTTAGAATTAGCTCCAGGACGCTTCCAGCGTAGGAGTGCAATCACGGCTGCCCCTCTTTGTCCTCCTCCTTTCCTTCTCTTGAGCCTGTTGGCCCTGAGACCTGCGTGTGTGTATGTGTGTGTGTGTGTTTATAAGCAAGCAAGCTGAGGTGCCATGGGAACTCCTGGGGAAAGCCTGTCCTTCCTAAGTGGAGCTGCCAGCGCCTGGGAGGGGGACATCACGGCCCACTGACACCCTTCAGGAAGGGAGAGGAGGGGGAGATTTGTGCCAGCCAGGCCAGGGGCTTTGTTTAGCCTTAGGCCCTTTGCCTGGTCCTCTCAGGAGCTTCCGCCAGCCTTAGAATGCCTGAGGGAGGGTCTTCAGTGAGCTGACGCCTCACAAAGAGTCGTGAGGCAGAGCCAGGATCCTGGAAACAGTGGCTGGGTGGCTCACGGGCTGGGGGTCTCTTCAGCAGGAATCCCAGCCTGCGCCCGGCAGCCCAGAGGCCCTCCCGGAGCCGAGGGTCTGGAGCCAGGTGTCGGAGACCACCTCCTCTGGGGCCGAGGCCAGTGAGGCTCAGGCAGACTTGCGGCAGCAGCGGCGAGCAGAGGCCCCGGCCCCAGGGCGCAGTGAGGTAACGTACACCTTTGTCCCTGAAGCCATGAGAGGCCAGGACACCAACCCGCTGCTGCCGGCGGAGGCCACAGCCGCCGCCACGGCCAGTGTGGGAGACCCGTCTGCGGAGTGGCCCCATCCTGACAGGGGAGGGATGGCTTGGGGCCCAGAGCCACGTGGGAATTCAGGAAGCAGCCCCCCAGGAGCATGCCACAGGACTAACCCCAAGCCCTGCGTGTTCACCCCTTCCTCACTGGGCTCCTGTGCTCTGGTCCTGTTGGCAAACATCTGTCCTATGCGTCAGCCCATCCTGGGGGACCGGGGGAGCTCTGAACGCAGGCTCTCAACACATGAGCCACTAGCCGCGTCTCACCTGGACAAAAGCTGAGGCGGCGAATACAAGGCCTGTCAGAGGAATTTGTTCTGGACACAAGAGTTTTAATTTGAGCTCATTACCAGTACTTCGGCCACCTGAAACGAAGAGCCGACTCATTGGAAAAGACCCTGATGCTGGGAGAGATTGAAGGCAGGAGAAGGGGATGACAGAGGATGAGATGGCTGGATGGCATCACTCAATGGATATGAGTTTGAGCAAGCTCCAGGAGATGGTGAAGGACAGGGAAGCCTGGTGTGCTGCAGTCCATGGGGTTGGGAAGAGTCAGACACAACTGAGCTACTAAATAACAAAACAACAACGACCAACATTTAAAACCCAGAGGCTTTTATGTAAAAAGTCTGCGTTCTGGCTTGTCTTAAAAAAAAATTGGAAGAAGAGCTTCCCTGGCCCTGTAAGCATTTGGGCTTGCAGGCCCTTAGCTAACCAGACTGTGGCACTACTGGCTACACCCCACCCCTGCTCCGCCAAGCGCCCAGGAAGGTGGAGGTCATGTGCTCAGAGACCGTGCTCAAGGCCCTTGTCCTGCAGCCTGACCGCAGCCGCTGTCTAGCAGCTGTGACTTGCTCCAAGGCGACATTTCTCCTTTGTCTTGTTCCTTTCATGGGGTGGGCTCATGGGAAGCTTTGTTTTCACGGCCAGTTTGAGAGTACAAGGGCCTGGTGGAATCATCGCCCTGACTGTGCAGGTCACACTTGTCCTCCTGGATGGTCTCACGCACCAAGGAGCGGGGAACAGGAAGACACAGGAGGGACAGAAGGTCACGGACAGAAGGGGCTCCCGTACTGGAATGCTGACCTTTGAGCAAGTCTGGTACCTTCATCACCTTTTCAGATCAAGTCACATTGGAAATGAGGAGACAGCCAGGTGGGCTGGGACTTTCCTAGGAGAAGGACCCCTCTTCTCACTTGCCTGGGGAATCCTGAGAACTTGTCGTCCCATGGGAAAGCCCTAGTGTCTGAAAAGAAAAGGCGCACAGAGACCCTTGACTGTGCCTTTCCCAGTTCAGCACTGCACAATGAACCTGGAGTAAGGACGTGACCCTCAAAGCCACAGAAACTGCCCTGCACCCAGGAGCACTCTACATTTTCACCGGGATCCATTCACTCCTTACGGCCAGCCTCAAGGTTAAAGAGGACTCTGAGACAGCAGTGGATTGAGTTGTGGAAGGAAGAGAAAAGAAGGCAGGTTTGAGAGTCAAAGCTCAAACCAGCTCTCCCCAAAGTGGAGTGGAGCCTGAGCAGCGTGAGGTGGACTGAACTTGGTGTGGTAGATGTGATCGGATGCAAATGAAGGCCGCCCTCCTCCCCAGAACCCTCTTCCCTGCCATACTTGTCATTAGGTGGATTCCCAGAGGCAGAGGCAGAGCCTGGCTTCCTGTGCAAATGATTCATTGAGAGGGTGCCCTCAGGAGAGACCCATAAGGAAGTGAGAAAAGCAGGATAAGGCAAAAGCAGCGGCTCCAGACGTTATGCTGGCTGGATTCCAGCCTCAGCTGGGTCTCTCCCATATCAGTCAGTCACTGGGTGTCAGCCACCCTGGACTTGGGTTGTAACCCCCAAACTATTTCCAAGGATGGCAGGTCCCTGACTAAAGACACTTTTCTGGAGATGGGGTCAGAGAAACAGTATTCGCAGCAGCTGGAGACAGGTGCCCTGGCCCAAAGAGGGAAACTGGGCAGAACTACAGCACACCTATACACTGGTGCCCACACATGACACCCAGAGATGCTCATAAGGGCACCTGCACATGCTGTCATAATCAGATTATGCAGGATCAGGGCAGCAGAAACCTGCGTGACCAGGCAGGGACGGTTCCAGCACCTTCTTGCGCTAGGCTGTATGCTTCACACCCGCGCCCATATGAACTGAGTGAGCAGTGTGGGCTGAGGTCACTGGCCTGTTCGCTGCATGTCTGGCCCGTGCCTGTGTGTGCCTCTGACCCTGGCGCTGACGCTGTTCTGGGTGTGGCCTGCCTGTTTCCTCCGCGTGTGCTGGGCTGCCGCTGTGTGTCCACATCCCACTGTGTGTCCCTGTTGCACCTCATGCCTGTTTTACTTCCACCTGGATGCCTTCCCCATTCCTGGGGTTTTCCCAGAACCCTTGTCCCACCCCTGCACCCCTGCCCTAGACACCAGCAGCCCAGAATCACAGACCCAGGGGCCCTAAGGTCCAGTCTCGGTGACCTTCGTGGTGGGCTCCCACGCCCCTGGGCTCAGATTCCCCAGGTGCGCCGTGGGGGATGGCCTAGGCACCCCCACTCTGGGAGCCCCAGGCTGGAGGCTGCTACAGAGCCCACACTCATGCACTCACCCACCCACCTCACGATCCTGCCTGCAGCTGCCTGAAGACAGTTACTCTGAGGGGAGCACAGCAGATATGACCAACACCGCTGACCTCCTGGAGCAGATCCCTGACCTCGGAGAGGACGTCAAAGACCCGGAGGACTGCTTCACTGAAGGTACAGCCCGGCTGGCACTGCGGCCCAGACTCAGCCCTGCGCAGAGGGGCAGGAGGACCCACAGCTCCTGTGTCACATCCCACTCTGACCCGCATGCCTGTTATCCTTTCCCCATTCCTCAAGACCCTGGGGGCCTCCCCCCATGCCCGTGACGTGAGTTACGGCAGGTGTGCCTTCAGGTGTGTTTGGTCGGACCACTGTGGGTCGGCTGCATTTGTGGAGTGGTAGTATGACTGGGGGCCCCCATCACGGCAGGGGCTGGTCTAATTCCCCCGTCCCCACGGGCTGTGGCTCAGCGCTTGGCACGTGGTAGGCCCTGTGTAAACAGTCAAGGTGGGTGTGACACACGGTCATGTTGGTGACAGCATCTGGAGCTTTTACGAATCCATGCTATATTCAAAAGGCAGCTGGGGATAAAATGAGGGTTTGCCGTCCATGTGGCACACCCTTTGGGACTGTCAGTGAGGCGTCTGCCCTTCCCAAGGCTCAGAAACTGCAAACATGGAGAAAGTCCAGGGACCGAGCACCCCAGGGGATTCTGGAGCATTCCCCCAGGGGGTGAGTTGCCTGGGTGAGTGCGGGACAAGCTGGAGCCCAACCCAACCCCAGCCTTGCCCCGGCCCAGACCTGCCAGGCCCTTCACCTACTTACTGGTAGCCTAGTCCATCCACCCTCTCCACGGAGTACCTGCTACGTGTAGCCTCCTGAGGGCGGTTCCCACAGTCATCACCCTGCACCATGGCCCTGCCCACCCCATGGCCCAGCCCATTATCCATCACGCTAACCTCTTTCAGTCATTCGTTCGAGTGTCCAGCTTCTTGCTATCAGATGTGGGCATTCGCGGGTGCTGGGCTGGGTCTGAGCCCTCCTCCTCCCCCACAGGCTGTGTCCGACGCTGTCCCTGCTGTACCGTGGACACCACACAGGCCCCCGGGAAGGTCTGGTGGAGGCTGCGCAAGACCTGCTACCGCATCGTGGAGCACAGCTGGTTCGAGACGTTCATCATCTTCATGATCCTGCTCAGCAGTGGCGCGCTGGTACCCTCCTGGGGATACAGGGTGGGCAGGGAGGCATGAAGGAGAAGGGGTAGGCAGAGAAAGGAGATCTCCAGCTAGAAAGCCAGGTTAGAAACTGGGGCAGAGTCCTCTGCTGAAAATGAACCCCCCCCCCCCACAGGGCCCCAGATGAGGACCAACTCACAAACTGTCAACACCCACAGCACATACGGAGGTCAGAGCAGAAAGGGATCATGGCGGAGGTCATCTGTCCAGGCCTCCTTGTTCCACAAAGGGAAGTGATTTTCCTAGATCCCAGGTCTCGGGTCACCAGCTACCTACATCTAAGCCCCGGTGACATACCCACCTGCACACAGCATCAGACACTCCATCAGACTGGTTCAATGCAGTTAACAATGCAGGCTGATAGCACACTGGTAGCTCCATTCACTCCATGTCTTCTAGGGCTAGAGGCCAAGCTATGTAGTTCACACATTATCACATTTAATCCCCATAGCAACCCTTTGTAGAAACATTAAGTAACTTGCCCAAAGCCCCACCACTCACAAGCAGCAGATGTGGCATTTGAGCCCAGGGAGTCAGATTCCAAGTCCTTTGTCTTGACTTTCCATTTGTTCAACAGATCTTTACTAAGCTCTCTTTGTATCTACTGGTCCTGTGATGCATGGAGGAGCAATAGAAGGAAGAGACCCTGGCTCTGGCCTCAGGGACTCCTAGTCTAGTTGGGAAAACCAGATTCAGCAAGTTTGAGATAGTCAGAGATCAGCTCCAGAGAGAGGAGAACAAGAATGGAGTAGATGACTCAGAGTGATGGAAGGTCAGGGGAAACTAGAAAAATCAGGAAGACTCCTTAAAGGAAGCAGATGGAGCCGGACTGTGGGAAACAGGGAGGTTTGGTGAGGCCAGGAGGAGCAGCGAGGCCCTCTGGAGATGCCCCAGCTGGTTCCCAAGCACTCTACTCATGTCTCGGAGCCCTTCTAGAAGGAGATGAAACAGCCCTGGAGAGGGTTGTGAAGGGTACTTGTGAACAGGGAGAGGGGTGATCAAGAAGGCAAAAGAAACATAAACCTCACTAGCCCAGAAGGAGCAAGAACCCAATATTGTTGGGGAGATGAGGGCCCCATGAATGAGCAACTAATAAGGAATGCTTTGGACTTAAGATAGGGAAGAGAGGGCTACTCTGATCCCAGGCTGTTTGCCTCCAGCTCATGCTGCCTCTGAGACTTCCCTGTAGCTCAAATGGTAAAGAATCTGCCTTTGAGGTAGGAGACCCATGTTCGATCCCTGGGCTGGGAAGTTCCTCTGGAGAAGGGAATGGCAATCCACTCCAGTATTCTTGCCTGGAGAATTCCATGGACAGAGAAGCCTGGCGGGCTACAGTCCGTGGGGTCGCAAAGAGTCAGACACAACCCAGCGACTAACACAGTCCACAGTCTGCCTCCTATGGGGCCAGGCTATGGGGAGACCCTGCAGCTGTCACTTCTAAACCTCTGGGCCTCCCGCCCGCTCTGTGCTATCCTGCCTCTGTTCCAGAGTGGGCCTGGAGCCGCCGCTTGCAGGCTACATGCTGTTTTACCATCGGCTAGAGCCAAATCTCTGTAGGCTTCAGAGGAGGATTTGACAATATGTTAACGAGTTTTGTTTTTAAACAGCCACAAACAAGGGCAGCCAGAGCCATTTAGTCTGGGCTGTGGAGGAAAAGCTCAGCCTGGCATAAGTGAGGAGGTGTTTTGGCAAGCAAATGGTGAATCTCATCAGGGTAGACAGCCAAGCACTGTTTTAAAAAAAAAAAAACAGAAACCCACATCAATGATATATTGAGAAAAATAAGTCAGAGAGGTGTTATTTAAAGTTATAAACTTGTTTAACAGAAAGCAGACTATGTATCACTTTGAAATTGCTGAAGGGAAAAAAATTTCTTTTCAGAACACAGATTTTATAGCAAAAGATAGGGAGAAAAGAAGGAACCAGGAAGCATTAAATCAGGAAACAAAATAATATGGCAAAGGCAAGATCAGACGTGTGTTTTACTAATAAATGTAATTGGATAAAATTCATCATTTTAAAAGGAAAGGATTCTAAGTGGATCAGAAAAAAAAAAAAAAGCTACAGTTGTGTGTTCTCAAAGGACAACCCTGAAACTCTGTGACTCAGAAATATTAAAAGTGAAATAATAAGATATAGCAGGAAAATAAACAGTGACAACAAAAATCGGAGTGCTTTTGTTTATGTTAAACAAGGTTGAATTCAAGGTAAAAATCTTGAGCTAAAAAAAGAAGGTCCAACCTATAATAAAAACACAACTATTATGAATATATTTATTTGGGCACTTTATAAAGTAAAATCAGAAAAAAAAAGTAGCAACAGTACAATAATACAGTGAGATTTTACCTCATTTGTTTAGTACTTGGCCAATCAAGTATTAATAGAACAAGACAATGAGATATCTTAAAAGATACAGTTAATAAATTTGATCTAACCTAATATGGACAGGGAGCCCCGGCATGCTGCAGTTCATGGGGTCACAAAGAGTTGGACACAACTGAGTGACTGAACTGAGCTGAACTGAATAATAATAATAGCTAACACTTAAATAGTACTGACTATGTGCTAGGCTCTGTTACTGTAACATTTTACGAGCATTAATACATTTAGTTCGCATAATAGCCCTGTGAGGTAGGTACTATATTATGGATAAGAAAACTGCTAGATGTAGCAAAAATAGAAAGATTAACCATAAACCTGTAGAAACATAAAATGTATTCTTAAACTTTGGATTAAACAAAATAGTTTCATGGAGGGCTCATGGGTGTTCATTATATTATTAATAAAAAGTAAATAAGTAAAGAAACTATTCATGAACCAAATATGGCAATGTGTCATAAATCAAAGATTACGATTCAGCCAGTTTTGTCCTCCTGATATCTAGAAAAATAAGAAAAATAGAGGTAGAGAAAAAGCTTTGACTTGGGGCAGGGGAAGAAACTGGAAAGAAACAGTATTGCTAATACTTTATGTGGGATGTAGCCAAAGCTGTAATAACTAAAATGCATAAACGTAAACATTTTCTTTGTTAAATAGAAAGAATAAATTTATTAACTCAAGAAATTAGAAGTATAACAACAACATAATTGTAAAGAAAGCAAAGGATAAAATTAATAAAATAAAAACACAGATTAATGAATTAGAAAATAAATAGTAAAATTGATTTAATTCCAAAGCTGATTCCTTGAGTGATCAGTAAACCACTAGCTAATCTAATCTCTGACATCTCCAAGAGTGGATTCTTTCATATTTTCAAGGAAGAAAATAATTTAAATTCTATTTAAAAATCTTCTGGAGTATGAAAAAAGATGGAAAATCTATCAATTATTTTTATGAAAGCTAACAGTGCTGATTTTTTAAAACCTTAAGTATACCAAAAGTAAAACAACACACTAGTTTTCATACTCTATACTTGTGAGTAGTGATGCAAAAATATTAAAATACATGCTAATAGGATTCAGTAAAATATTTAAAAGATTAAATGAGTCACAGCGAGGTATATCCTAAAGAGTCAGAAGGACGCCCTGTTAGGAAATCTATTTATATGAATCAGACAAAGATGAAAAGCCATATAATTATCTCAGTGAATGTTTGATTTTTAAAACTTTGGTAAGAATAGAAATAAAATAGATTTACTTAATGAAAAACTTAATTTCAAGTTAACTTCTACATCGTCATTAGTAGTAAAGCACTAGAAACATTTTATTAAAGTCAAGAATAAGAAAAAGATGATTTAACTACCTTTTAGCTGTTTTTCATTATTTAATAATAACTTTGAAGTACTAGCCAGTGCAGTTAATCAAGAAAACTAAACATACAGCATAAAAATAGGAAAATAGAAGAATTGAAGTTAATATGATCAAGTATAAAATGAGTTTAAAATAATACAAGTATATCATTACTTGTAGATAATGATTGCTTAGAGAAAAATTTAAAACTCATTAAAAACATTATATGGCTAGTTATAAAACAAATGTATGAATAATTGTTGCTATTGTAATAGAAACATTTAGTCACAAGTAACATTTCTCCAATAGTCCTTAGATGCCAGGCATTGTAACCATAAAATAACTGAGAATAAATATAACATGAAATGTATAATAGATACATGAAGAAAACTGTTAAACTTTGCTTTGGAGTGTAAGGGAAGATAAACAGATAAACATACTACAAATATACTCCAGCCTTGAGCAGAAAGACTGTATTAGTTCCTAAAACAGTTGATGAACTCAATGCAGTAATAAATTTCTAAAGGGAATTTGACAAAACATTGTTTAAATGTATCTTGAAAATTATGAAAAGTGACCAGGAAAATTCGTGTGACAATAATTCAGGAATAGACTAGGAGAGCAGTAGAACCACACGGAAGTTGTAAGCAAATATAGAAGTGTAGTAGATTCTAGTGTTGACTTCTACTCCGTGGGTTTAGAGTGGGTTCTTTAATAAAGTGTTTGGACACTTGACAAGTCACTCTGTAAAAAAAAAACTAAAATAGATATTTACTCCTTACCAAAATATATTAGATTTTAAAATTTCTGATATAAAACAATGAAACAAGAGGGAAAGAAATAGAAAGAAAAGAAAGGTCTTTTTTTTCCCTAGCCTTTGGACTAGGCAAGGGCTTTCTTTTTTCTTTTACTTTCTTTCGCATGTATACCTCATTATTTTTGTTTTTAACTTTTTGCAGTCTTTTTTAAGTTTTTATTTTATATTGGAATATAGTTCATTTACAATGTTGTGTTAGTTTCAGATGTACAGCAAAGTGATTCAGCTCTAAATGTACATATATCTGTATCTTTTTCAGATTCTCTTCTCATGTAGCTTATTACAGAGTATTGCGTAGAGTCCCCTCTGCTCTACAGCTGGCTCTTGCTGATTATCTGCTTTTATGGAATAGTGTGTACATGTCAATCCCAAACTCCTAATTTATCGCTCCCCCTGCCTTTCCCTTTGGCAGCATAAGTTCGTTTTTTGTGTCTGAATCTGTTTTGTAAGTAATTGATTTGTATCATTTTTTTTTAGATTCCACATTTAAGTGATATCATATGATATTTGTCTTTCTCTGCCTTAACCTACTGTGACAATCTCCATGGTCCACCCATAATGCAAATGGAATTTTTATTCTTTTTTATGGCTGAGTAATATTCCATTGTATGTACGTATTCCTCTGTCACTTAACATTTAGGTTATTTCCATGTCTTGGCTGTTGTAAATAGTGCTGCAGTGAACGCTGGGGGTGATTGCATCTTTTCAGATTATAGTTTTCTTTAGCTATATGCCCAAGAGTGGAATTGCTGGATTATGTGGTAGTTCTGCTTTTGCTTTTTAAGTAACCTCAGTACTGAATACATAGTTGTTGTACCAATTTATATTCCCACCAACAGCGTAAGAGGGTTCCCTTTCCTCCACACCCTCTCCAGCATTTATTGTTTGTAGATTTTTTGGTAATGGCGCTTCTGATCAGTGTGAGGTGATCCCTCGCTGTGGTTTCTGTTTGTGTTACTCTAATAATTAGTGATGTGGAGCATCCTTTCATGTGCATTTTGGCCATCTGTGTGCTTTTTTTGGAAGTGTCTATTTCAGTCTTCTGCCCATTTTCCTTTGGGGTGTTTGGCTTTTTATTGGGTATTGAGCTGCATGAGCTGTTTGTATATTTTGGAGATGAATCCCTTGTTGGTCACTTTGTTTACAAATATTTTCTCCCATCCTGTGGGTTGCCTTTCTGCTTTTTTTGTGGTTTCCTTTGCTGTGCAAATCCTTTTGTGTATAATTAGGTCCCATTTGTTTATTTTTGTTTTATTTTCATTACTCTAAAAGGTGGATCCAAAAAATATATTGCCATGATTTATGTCAAAAAGAGTTCAGCCTGTTTTCCTCTAAGAGTTTTAATGTATCTGATCTTACATTTAGGTCTTTAATACATGTTTAGTTTATTTTTGTGCATGGTGTTAGAGAATGTTCTAAATTTCATTCTTTGACATGTAGCTGTCTGGTTTTCCCAGTGTTACTTATGGAAGAGACTGTCTTTTCTCCATTGTATAGTATTGCCTCTTTTGTCATAGATTAATTGACCACAGGTGTGTGAGTTTATTTCTGGGCTATCTTGTTCTATTGATCTATATCCCTATTTTTGTGTTAGTACCATACTGTTTTGATTATTGTAGCTTTGCAATATAGCCTGAAGTCAGGGACCTTGATTGCACCAGCTGTTTTTCTTTCTTAAGATTGCTTTGGCTATCTGTTTTACACATGGTAGTGTATATATGTCAACGCTATATGTGTATATATGTCTCCAATTCATTCCACCCTTCCCTTATCCCCACCACCACCTGTCCACATGTCCATTCTCTACATCTGCATCTCTGTTACTGCCCTGAAAATAGTACTGCCCTGCACCATCTTTCTACATTCCATACATAATGTATCATTAATATATGACATTTGTTTTTCTGATTTACTTCATTCTGTGTGACAGACTCAGGGTCCATCCTCATCTCTACAGGTGACCCAGTTTCATTCCTTTTTCTGAGTACTATCCCGCTGTAAACATGCATCTTCTTTATCTGCTCCTCTGTTGGACATTTAGGTTGTGTCTGTGTCTGGGCTGTTGTACATAGTACTGCTATACACATAGAGGGTACATTTATCTTTTTGAATTAGGGTTTTTTCTGGCTATTTGCCCAGGAGTGGCACTGCTGGATCCTATGACAGATCTATTTTTAGTTTTCTGAGGAACCTCTGCATTGCTGTCTGCAGTGGCTGCACCGACTTACGGTCCCACCAAGGGTGTAGGAGGGTTTCCTTTTCTCCATACTCCCTCCAGCATTTGTTATTGGTACACTTTTTAATGATGGCCATTCTGATTGGTGTGAGGTGGTACCTCATTGTAGTTTTAAATTGCATTCTAACCAGTCCATCCTAAAGGAGATCAGTCCTGGGTGCTCATTGGAAGGACTGATGCTAAAGCTGAAGCTCCAATACTTTGGCCACCTCTTGCAAAGAGTTGACTCATTGGAAAAGACCCTGATGCTGGGAGGGATTGGGGGCAGGAGGAGAAGGGGACGACAGAGGATGAGGTGGCTGGATGGCATCACTGACTTCATGGGCATGAGTTTGAGTAGACTCCGGGAGTTGGTGATGGACAGGGAGGCCTGGCGCGCTGCGATCCATGGGGTCGCAAAGAGTCGGACATGACTGAGCGACTGAACTGAACTGAACTGAACTGAATAATGAGTGATGTTGAGCATCTTTTCATGTATTTGTTAGCCAGCAGTGTGTCTTCTTTGGAGAAATGTCTATTTATGTCTTCTGCCCATTTTTTGATTGGGTTGTTTGGGGGGTGGGGGGTTGTTATTGTTGTTTATTCTCTTTTTTTTTATTTTTTTTTTTTTTTCTTTTTTTTCCAAAGGCCTTTTTTTTTTTTATTCGGAAAAAAAAAAGCCTACTTTTTATCTTGAAGAATCCCCAAACTCCATCTGGGGACCTGATCCCAACCTTTTGTCCCATCTGCACAGACCAGGTTAACTGTGTGTTCCCTGGGCAGGGCGTCCTCGGGTGCTGCTGACAGCACTGGGCCACTGGACCGCTGTAGCTCTCAGAGGCCCTGCAGTGACAAGGAGAGGCCCAGAGCGAAAGGTGGAGGCACTCCCCAGGGCCCACACTGACGCGGTCAGTTGCCTAGACTGGGAGCCCCAGAGCACGTCCTGGGGGAGGGGCAGATACATATTGGAAGGCTGGAGCTGGAAGAGGGCAGCAGAAGCCCTCGAGTCCCTCTCGGCCCAGGGATTTGGGTTGAGGCAGGAGTGAGGAGGTGGGGAAAGACCAACAGCTAGCTTGTTAGACATACTGACTCCCAGATTCTGAGGAGTTGCAGAAGGTTTGACTTCGTCTAGTCCTGTGTTTCCTAATCTTCATATCTATAGACTGCCTTCACTATCACTTCTGTGAAATTTTGCATTAGATAAACACTCACTGGTTTTTTGTTTGTTTAAATAAATTTATTGTAAAGGGCAACTTTGAATGATTGTTGTCATTGGAAACCAATATTGTTTCCTATGAAAAGTAGGTAAGCGCCAAAAGTAAAGAGAGTAAAAAACACAGTGGAGGGGGGTAGCGGGGAGATAGATGTATGCAGTTTCCAACAATAGGCTGTGAGCTGTTTTAGAGAGATCTTAACGATGGATGCACTAGCTCTGAACTGAGACTTGCTCTTCAAAGTGAAGGTGGAAACATTCTCACTACACATCCTTCCTTGTCCACACACCATGTAACATCATTTCCTGACCCAGCAGTGGTGCACACGGGGCTCAAAGAGCATGCTGAGGAAGCCCCTCCACTATGCAGCCTCTTCTGCACTGCCCTCCTGGCAGAGGGATGCTGTCAGGGATGAAGGCTCGTGCGGGCTGGGACCAGCTGGGTCAGGACACCACGTCTGCCTTGTCCACCCTGGTCTGCAGGCCTTTGAGGATATCTACCTGGAGGAGCGGAAGACCATCAAGGTCTTGCTGGAGTACGCCGACAAGATGTTCACCTACGTCTTCGTGCTGGAGATGCTGCTCAAGTGGGTGGCCTACGGCTTCAAGAAGTACTTCACCAACGCCTGGTGCTGGCTTGATTTCCTCATCGTGGACGTAAGTGTGACCCCTGAAGGGGAGAGGGGAGAGGGGGCGCCCTTAGCCAGTGCGAGAAGGAGCTGAGGCTGAGGGATGGAAGGACAGAAGGACAGGGTGGTGGGAGTTCGGCAGGCTGAAGTGGAGGCTCTTGGTTGTGCTGCAAGGCAGGCGGAGGGGCAGGAGATCCGAGTCTGCGGTCACGGAGGGGAGGCAATCAGAACCACCGGCTGGGGACACAGGGAAATCTAGGCCCTGCTCCTGGGAGAAACTGGACTCACGATGGGGGTCAGTGCATACAGTCCTGGCAGGGCTGTGAGCCAGGGCAGGAGTGAGTTCTCACCTGCTCAGGACAGCCAGAAGCAGGGCGCTGACGAGCCTGTATTACAGCCCTCACCACAGCACCTTGTGAAGTGTCCGTCAGGACCACTACACACATGGCCAGTTAAGAGCCTACGTGTCTACACACGAGACGGGGCCATCTGTATAGGAGATGGAGTGAACCAAAGGCCAGAGGGCATGGGGTTGGCGAAGGGGTGCTGGGCAGGTGGGAGATCGTCCTGGCTCAGGTAGAAGGTACCACAATGGGGAGGATGAGTCGGGTGGAGTCACCTGTGAAAAGGAGGAAAGCCGTGAACATGGGCTGGGTAGGGGGTTCTGGCCAGCTGCCCTGGGTCATCTGGTAGCTGGCAGGCCATGCCAGTCTCTGATGTGTCCAGAAGGGCCTGGGGTAGGAGGTCGGCATGTCCTCTGGGCACCCGGTGGGCAGATGGAATGCAGCCCCTCCCCACAGCTCCCCAGGCCCCAGAACCTTGTTGGGTGCATGCAAGTTGAGTTCAGGGTCTTGCAGGGCTCCTGAGTACAGTCAAGTGGAGAGTAACCAGAGGGTGACAGGGGGAGAATTGAGGTTCGGGGTGTGGGGCAGCCTTGGATCTGTGCTCCCGAGGGCAGCGGGAACACGGCGAAGGGCCCAAGTGAGGGCTCACCATCTGGCAGTGGTGCTTCTCCCACACTAGAACGTGGGTCAGGATGTGCAAGCTGGGTAGAGTTTTGCAGAAGACGCCCATGGCTTCTGGGCTTGGCATCATCCCCTGAAGGGGAGAGGGGAGAGGGGGCGCCCTTAGCCAGTGCGAGAAGGAGCTGAGGCTGAGGGATGGAAGGACAGAAGGACAGGGTGGTGGGAGTTCGGCAGGCTGAAGTGGAGGCTCTTGGTTGTGCTGCAAGGCAGGCGGAGGGGCAGGAGATCCGAGTCTGCGGTCACGGAGGGGAGGCAATCAGAACCACCGGCTGGGGACACAGGGAAATCTAGGCCCTGCTCCTGGGAGAAACTGGACTCACGATGGGGGTCAGTGCATACAGTCCTGGCAGGGCTGTGAGCCAGGGCAGGAGTGAGTTCTCACCTGCTCAGGACAGCCAGAAGCAGGGCGCTGACGAGCCTGTATTACAGCCCTCACCACAGCACCTTGTGAAGTGTCCGTCAGGACCACTACACACATGGCCAGTTAAGAGCCTACGTGTCTACACACGAGACGGGGCCATCTGTATAGGAGATGGAGTGAACCAAAGGCCAGAGGGCATGGGGTTGGCGAAGGGGTGCTGGGCAGGTGGGAGATCGTCCTGGCTCAGGTAGAAGGTACCACAATGGGGAGGATGAGTCGGGTGGAGTCACCTGTGAAAAGGAGGAAAGCCGTGAACATGGGCTGGGTAGGGGGTTCTGGCCAGCTGCCCTGGGTCATCTGGTAGCTGGCAGGCCATGCCAGTCTCTGATGTGTCCAGAAGGGCCTGGGGTAGGAGGTCGGCATGTCCTCTGGGCACCCGGTGGGCAGATGGAATGCAGCCCCTCCCCACAGCTCCCCAGGCCCCGGAACCTTGTTGGGTGCATGCAAGTTGAGTTCAGGGTCTTGCAGGGCTCCTGAGTACAGTCAAGTGGAGAGTAACCAGAGGGTGACAGGGGGAGAATTGAGGTTCGGGGTGTGGGGCAGCCTTGGATCTGTGCTCCCGAGGGCAGCGGGAACACGGCGAAGGGCCCAAGTGAGGGCTCACCATCTGGCAGTGGTGCTTCTCCCACACTAGAACGTGGGTCAGGATGTGCAAGCTGGGTAGAGTTTTGCAGAAGACGCCCATGGCTTCTGGGCTCGGCATCAGGCTCTGCCCACCTGCAGAGGCTGTCCTTCCTAGAGTTCTAGCTTAGGCCTGTGCTCAGTCCCTACAGCAGCCCCAGAGGCCCAAGGGAGGGACTCGATGGCCAGTGGACCTGGCCAGGGTCAGGCCTCGGTGGCAGGTTAAGCTTGAGTGGCCACCTGAGCTAGAGCATGCGTGCAGACACAGCCTCACGGCTGGGCCTCCTCACAGGTGACTCCAAGCCACCACAAGTGGCTGAAAAGATGCTCATGCTGGATAAGGGGTGCCGGGGTGGCAGACAGGCAGGGGCTCTGGGTGCACTTATGGCCTGGGGCCCTCAGAGCCTCCCTGAGATGACGGAAAGGACTCTGAGGCCTCCCTGCCAAGGGGATGTGGGAAGCCCTGGGAGCCTGGCCTCTCTGCCCTGGGCCCCCTCACCCACCTGTTCCTGCAGCTTTGTGGGACTGACTCCCCCAAGGCAGGCCAGACAGAGTCTGCAAAGATGTCTGGGGAAGCCCACCCCCTCCCACCCCCTGCCACTTTGGAGAATTTAGCTGAGCGTCCTGAAATTCCCAAGATTGGAGAATTAGCCTGTGGAGAGGAAAACTGAGGGTCACAGCAGAGGAGGGCCTGGCCCAAGGAAAAGGAGAAGGAACTGGTGCTGGAATCCAGCTTTCCTGACTCTGGCCATTCCCCCCCACCCCCATCCCTACACCCCATGGAAATGGTGGACTTCAGGCCTCAAGATCTGGAGAAGGGTGTTTCCATGTTCAATTCATGCAGTTTTTAAAAACTGTCAAGCATCTACTATATGCAGGTGCTCTAGCAGATGCTGGGGATCTCAGGGAACGAAACAGACAAAGTCGCTGCCTGCGTGGAGGAAGGTGACTGGGAACCAGAAACATAATACATGAGCCGGCTTTATATAATGTTACACTGGTGATTTACACATGGAGAAAAAGAAGTGGAAAAGGAAGGGGATTAGGACTCAGGGAGAAGGGAAGACACAGATTACAACTTTCACAGATTACAAGCTGGCTAAAAATGGGCCAACTGTGGCGATGTTTGAAGGAAGTTGGGGCTAGCCAGGCAGATGTCCACAGAACATTCCAAGCAGAGGTTGGAGTGGCAGTGCAAAGGTCCTGCGGTGGGAGAGTGCCTGGGACACTTGAGGAACCACAAGGAGGGCAGAGTGGCTGGGGCAGAGGAGAGGGGACGGGAAGTGCAGGAGTTGAGGCCAGACTGCATGGAGTAGAATGCGTGCAGCCTTTGAAAAACTATGGGCCTTCATTTAGAATGCAATGGGAGGCGTTGGAGGGCTTTGGACAGACGAGTGACATCATCTGACTCGTTATGAAAGGATCGCCCTGTCCAGGGGAGGGGAAGTGGGAGCAGGGGAAGGTTGGGAGGCTGTGGCCGTAATCCAGGGGAGAAGAGACGGTGGCCTGGCCAGGATGGCGGCAGTGGAAGCACTGAGAAGTATTTGGACTTCTGACGTATTTTGAAGGCAGAGCCAACAGGAAATCCTAATGGGTTAGATGTCGGGTGTGTGAGACAGAGAGAAGGCAGGGATGATGCCAAGGCTTGTGGCCTGGGCAGCTGGAAGGGTGGAGCTGCCATCCGCTGAGATGGGGTAGAAAGGCGGGGCGAGCTTGGGAAGGAACCGACAAGGGCGGCCTGCTGGGGACTCGCTGGGGGGCCTGGCCAGACCTGGTCCCTGAGAGATGACCCTCGTCCTCTCCAGAGTGCGGACCAGCATCCTCGAGGGGTGAGTCAGCGCAGCACAGAAGTCCATCCTGGGAGTCCTTGGAGGAGGCAACTCCTCCAAGCTCTTCTGCCCAGCCTTCTCCCAACCTGCGCTTCCAAGCCTGAGAGCAGGCCATGGGGGTCACACCTACCCCCCACTCCCCACTCCCCATGGCCCCTCACCACCCCCAGGCTGCCCTCAGAGCCTGGGTGGCGGTAATGGTGATAGCCGGCATGGTCAGGCAGGAGGCCACGTCCAACCTGTGATCACTGGCCAGCAGTGACATAAGACGAGATTGGATGCCCGTGGAGCTTTAGAAGGATAAAGTCCGAGGGGTAGAAATGTCCCGGTGGGGACAGGGCAGAGGAAGCAGAGAGCAGTCTGCAGGGGCTCCATCTGAGCCTCTCTTCTGTGAAGATGACAGAATGTTACAAGGTTCAGCCTTGAGGAAATGCCCCAGGGTGGTTGTCTGCTCATATTCAACTCAGAATGGTCCTTCTTCCCCCAAAGAGTCTACTCTGGGGGATGGGAGGGGCCAGCCCAATAATCTGATTTGAAAGAAAGCGCACAGGGACCTAAAGCCACCCAGGATTTGTGGCCCTGCTCTTCCACGCTAGCAGGTGGCTTTGGAACTCCATTTTCTCATCTGTAGAATGGGGAGATGCATTCCAAGGCCGGGGTGAGTGGAGCTGTCACAGACATGTCTGTGAAGTGCACACAGCAGGCCCTTGGTGAGGGTCTGAAAGCTGGGACATGCCTGGCCTTGGCCCCAGCCTCTTGGGCCCGGGGAAGGCTGGCCCAGCACAGGACAGCCTGTGAAGACGATCCCACCGGAAATCATAAAGCCTGGACACGGGCAGGTGTGCTGGCCCTCTCACCGAACCCAGCCTGTGTTCGGTGGGCCAAGAGCCCCACCACTGGTCTCGAGCTGGCCTCGTGGCCCCATCCACCCGCCTCCACAGGTCTCGCTGATCAGCCTGGTGGCCAACGCCCTGGGCTTTGCTGAGATGGGCCCCATCAAGTCACTGCGGACCTTGCGTGCGCTCCGACCACTGCGAGCCCTGTCACGATTTGAGGGCATGAGGGTAAGAGGGGTGGCTCTCCTCATGGGAGCAGTGGGCGGTGGCTCTGTAAAGGGGACCCCCAGACTCACTTGCTGTTTAGGCGGCCCTGACCTGCTGCAAACATGTGTGAGATCTCCAGGAGGCGCGGCTGGGCTTAGAGGTGCCTGGAGGTGGAGAGCTGTTAGAACCTCCCCCCAGGCCTGATGCCCCAGTCCGGTGGGCTCCAAGGGGGCCAGAGAGCACTTGACGAAGGAAAGGAAGCAAGGGCTGGACCACGGTGTCTCAGCTGCAGCCCAGCCTCACCAGCCCTTCGGTTCCTGCTCTCCTGTGGGGCCTCGTGTCTGTGTGTGCCCCGCCTCCTGACAGACACAGCCTGCCGCCCCTCTGTCTAGGACGGGCAGTAGGGCAGGGCTACTGAGGATAACGCAAGCGAGGGAGGCGCCAGTTGTGGTCCTACCATCAGAGAGCAGTTTGGTTTGCTTACTAAACTCTTTGGCACTGTTTTCTAAGTGCAGAGAGCTCTCCCTTTTTCCCAGTCACTAGATTTTTCCGAAGAATGTGCACATTTAAGGCAAATTTAAAAGCCCACCAAGAAAAAACATTCCCTGTGATATATAGCAAGAAAACAAGCCTATATGTTTGTGTGGGAATGTTCTTTGTTTTTTATTGTTTTTACGGAACGTGCACGGTTGTCGTGACTTCAGCAGACACCTCCGTGTGTCTCTCACTGACCCGGAAGACACCACTATGCAGCCCCATTCGGTTGATGGTTGTGAACTTGGCCCACATCCCCAATCCATGGAGAAACAAACCGCTTATTTCTGGGGGGAAGACATTCACAAGTGAATAACCTAAGTTAAATGCTCCCATATGTCCAATGAGAGAAAAAACCCTTGGTTCTTGGGGCATGGGGACACGGGGGAGACACTAGTTACCAGGAATGCCTCTGCTGTGGCTTTTGGCCACAGAGCCAGCCAAAGGCAAATGCGAAAGTTGGTTTCCCACCCTGTTCCCATGTTCATCGCATGCTGGGCCAGGGACACCCCCTCCCACTTCTTTGCACGTGTCAGCATTACCCATCCTGGCACCATACCCACCACACAGCCCCACGCCAGCTCTGCTTCCAGTCTGTGTGGCAAACATGTCCCTGGCTCACAGACAGCTGGGGACTAGGTCTCTCCCTGGAGTGAAGTCCCCAGTTCTTTTTGCCAAGGATGCCTCTCCTGGGTGCTGTGAGTTTAAATGAAGAGAGCATGGGGCCGTGGCTCCATGGGGTCAGAGGGCCGCTCCCTGGAGAGGGCAGAGGCAGAAAGTGTGCACAGACTGCCTTGCCAGCCCCGATCCCATCACAGCACCCTCCACATGTACCAGCCAGAGATCCCCCGGGCACATTTTACGGGAGAATACCCATCCATCTCGGGAGCAGCAGCCCCAAAATAAACCAGAAACTCAGAGAATGTGTCTCCAGAGACCCTTTCTTCCCCATCAGATTTCTGGCGTACTATCTAGCAGAGACCGTGCTGAAAGTTAAGTTTGAAGGTCATGGATTCCAGGCAGGGCTATGAAGGATAAGACCAGAGGCTCTGAGCTGTGTCAGACTATGGGGTGCAGAGCAGAATGCGTGTGTGTTCTCTCTCACTGCCCACCAGAGCTTCCAGCCATGGGCTGTCCTTCCTTGGTGACAGGAAATGTTCCCCACCCCTACCCCCACAGGGACCTATACCCAAGGGGTTCAGTAGGTTTGGGGGGGGGCATCTTACGAAGGGTGTGCATTCTGAGCACCCCCAGAAACTGAGCCTGTTCTCTGCCCACTTGAGGTTGTGGTCAACGCCCTGGTGGGCGCCATCCCATCCATCATGAACGTCCTTCTCGTCTGCCTCATCTTCTGGCTCATCTTCAGCATCATGGGCGTGAACCTCTTCGCGGGGAAGTTTGGGAGGTGCATCAACCAGACCGAGGGAGACATGCCCTTGAACTATACCATCGTGAACAACAAGAGCGACTGTGAGTCTTTCAACGTGACTGGCGAATTGTACTGGACCAAGGTGAAAGTCAACTTTGACAACGTGGGGGCCGGGTACCTGGCCCTTCTGCAGGTGGTGAGTCCCGTGGTGGGCGGGTGGGGGGACTGCCTTCCTCTCACTGGTTGTCCAGCAACAGGCACCTTCCCCTATGCTGTGGGCAGGAGGGGGCCAGCGGGGCCACTCTGGATCCTCACAGTAGGGTTGTGTTGCCCCAAGGAGGGTCAGGATTCTTCAGAGACTTCTTGTCTGTTTGGGAAGGCGCCAGATGTTGCTTTCTAAGGAAGATGCTCCACTTTGCAAACATGGCGTGGGACTCCAGGGCTGCGGCATTTTCCCCAGCCGTCCAGCCAGCAGTCAGGTTGGCTCCTCTGCTGTCCGTTCGGCAGCGCGGTAGCACAGGTTGCAAGTGAGTGACCAGAGACACCCAGGGGCTGAGCCGCTAGCAAAACTGTGCCTCTGGCCACCCCTCTGTTATATAAGGTAGTGATTCCTCCTGCATTGTTTAAAAGAATATATTTACTTTCATCTCTAATGTGCAAGATGTTCAAACACTCACGGCCCTACCGAAGTTTCTATTGATTTGTGAGGACGATGGCTTCAGTGACTATAACGCACAGCATGCAAATAGCCTTGACAGCAGAAACGCAAGCAGAACTGTAACACATAAAAGCTGCAGCTTTTTCTTCTTGCTGTCCCAATGCGAAGCCCAGACACCTGTCTCTTGTGCTGAGCAGAAGGAAACTCAGCACATCCCCTCACACCTCCATTGTTGTTTTTGTTATTTAGTTGCTCAGTTGTGTCCAGCTCTTTGTGACCCCATGGACTGTAGCCCACCAGGCCCCTCTGTCCATGGGATTTCCTAGGTGAGATTACTGGAGTGGGTTGCCATTTCCTTCATCAGGGGATCTTCCTGACCCAGGGATCAAATCGTAGCCTCCTGCACATTTTCTGCATCGACAGGTGGGTTCTCTACTGCTGAGCCACCAGGGAAGCACCCCCACCCACCTCTTAAATCCCAGGAGTAGCTCTCTCCAGAGTCCCTGAAATACTTCATGGGGAACAGGACTAGAGCCCAACTCAGAGAGCCTTCCATTCTGAATGTCAGCACTTGGAAGGAAAGCCCCCTGTTGTAGTCTGAGAGCTGCCTGCCGTTGCAGACACAACCACACAGTGGCTAGAAGGAATTTGGTCGTGGGCACCTCGTAACCTTAGCTGGTCCCCAGCAGGTCCCACCGCATCTCCAGGCCTCTGTGTGTGGGTGAGGCCCCATGGCACAGGAAGCTGAAGCAGCTGCCTTCTCTGTGGATGCCTTCGTTTCCCCATCCACCCTCCCTGACTCATAAAAACTCTCAGATGGGGGAAATCTGTGTAGACCAGCTTACACCTGAAAAGAGGCTCAGGACATGATAGGATTATGCTGAGGACACAAATGAGATCCGCTAGGTAGTCAGTCTCACCACCAAGCATGTCCCTCAGCTCTGAAACATCCTAGCAGCCCAGCCTGGGGCCGTCCATGCAACCGGCACCAGGACCCTGTCCTGTTCGGCCTGCTCTTTCCTGCCATGCCAGAACCAGCGAGTGTGGACTCGCAAGAGCCGGTTGTTATATTTTCCGATATTTTTGTGAGCCATTATTAAAAATTAGATTTATAAACTTGTAATTAACTCAACGATATTGAAACAAAATAAAAACTTACCATTACCGCTTATTATCATCTATGCTCTTGAGGTTACTCACGCCTATTATAGTCATACCATGGAAACACTACAACGCTGTGGTCCTGTGCATCTCTTTCCAGAACTGAGTTCAGTAACGACACTTTGGCAACTCGAGGTTGGCCATGATGGGAATGTTTACACAGAGAAGTTGGCAAACACAACAGTCAGGACTTTCTTTATGTATAACCTTATGTTATTTATTTTTGGCTGTGCTGGGTCTTCACTGCTGCACGGGTTTTTCTCTAGTTGCAGCGAGCAGGAGCTGCTCTCTAGTTACCGTGTGCGGGCTTCTCATTGGCTTCTCTTGTTGCAGAGCACAGCCTCTGGGGTTCAAGGGCTTCCGCAGTTGTGGCTCCTGGGCTCCAGAGCGCAGGTTCAATAGCTGTGGCAAACGGGCTTAGCTGCTTCTCAGTATATGGGATCTTCCTGGGTCAGGGATCGGACCCATGTCTCCTGCATCGGCAGGCGAATTCTTCGCCACTGAGCCACCAAGAAGCCCCGTCAGGGCTTTGACTTTTCCTTCTGGAAAGCCACTTGTTGTTAGTCATTTGCCAACACACCACTAGCAAAAGGACCCCCTTACGTATGAGGGAACGTTAGGATGCTTGAGGGACGTCCTTGGAAAGCTGTGGAGCAGAAGCCCCAAGGCTTATGACAGAGAGGGCCAGGTCAGCACTGGGGTCCACCTTACTAGAACAGAGAACCCTAATGCCCCCTCTCTGTTCCTGACACCCCCTGTAGGCCTCTGTGTCATTTTAGAATCTGGAATGAATGCAGATCTGAAGGGTAGTCTCTTGGCCAACATCAAAATGCTTATTCCCCCACTAAATGACCTTCCTGGATTGTCTGCTTGGCTGGCTTCCCCTCCCCCTCAGCCCTGAACAAGAAGGCCTTTCCCCAACTGCCCAGCCATTTGGATACCACTGAAAGGGTGGAGCAGGCTGCCTGCTTCTGGTGGGAGGTTACTTCCTGGTCCCGTCTGTCCAGATAGGAGCCCGAAGTAGCTCCATAGATGCAGAATTAAATTATTTCCTTACTCTTGTCTCTTCCTTCCAGGCAACATTTAAAGGCTGGATGGACATCATGTATGCAGCTGTAGACTCCAGGGGGGTAGGTTGTCACGCTGGTCTCTCTCCCTGAGTCAGTCAAGGTTCCAAGCACCCAAGGTTCCCAGCTGCTTAGCCACCACGGAAACAGGGTCTGCAGCCCGTAAGGGCCAGGTCTCTTGTGTCAGCCCAGAGTCAAGCCTCTCTGGAATGCCCTTGGCTGTCCCTGGGACATGGTTGTACGGTCTCCCAGGGACTCCCCAGATTCTCAGATATCTTGTGAATTGCATTCACTGTAATTTAGCTGAACCAAAATCCTACCCTTAGAGGATGGGGAGGGAGCAGCAGAGACACAAATCAAGTTTCTCTGTGGTCCTGTCCCTGCCCCACACACATACACCAGCCACCATATCACACTGACAGCTGAAGGCTGAGAGACGCCCCCATATACTCACACCTGCCAGTGGCCCAGGGGCAGGGCCAGCGCCGAGCCCAGCGTGCCTGCCCTCCTCACCTGCCACCACCCACCCTCCTCAACTCCATCCCCACCCGCCCCTCACACACACGCAGACCCACACCCCATGTAGTGACGCTCCTCTGACACCCAGCCAGCCCACCCCGCGTTCCTGCCTGCCTGACCTCCTGTTCGCTTTCTCCCTTCTAGTACGAGGAGCAGCCCCAGTGGGAATACAACCTCTACATGTATATCTATTTTGTCATCTTCATCATCTTTGGGTCTTTCTTCACCCTGAACCTGTTCATCGGTGTCATCATCGACAACTTCAACCAACAGAAGAAAAAGATACGTCGAGCACGGGCTCCATGGGCTGCAGGGCAGGGCTGGGTGCCAGGCACCTGGCGGCCGGCCCCTCTGGCTCCTGGCCCCATTCTTCCTTCCTGTTGGGGACTAAGCTCCCACTGGGATGGGGTGCGAGAGGGGTGTAACCATGATGTGACCCGCTTAGGCCTGTAAGTGTGTGACAAGGGGCCCCACGCCTGCCCTAGTCTGAGAGATGAGGCTCCTGAGAGAAGCTGGGGTGAGAGTTGGGACTCTTCACTTGGCCCATGATCAGGGATCATGGGGGTGGGGGTGGGGAGCCACTGCACAGAGGCCTGGGTCTTCCCGGGGTTCCATCCTAGAAGGTACGGTTGGGTGCCAAGTGGGCAGAGGGAACTTCCAGGATGGCTGAGCTGGGCAGGGGAGAGGATGGAGGTCGGGGCTGCATTTGCAAGTCCCGAAGTCAGAGAGAGCTCAAGGTGAATGGGGAAAGGGACCCTGGAGAAGCAGGTCTGGGGTGGTGGTTGAGGGGGAATCTCATGTAGGATAAGGCATGCCTTTCTCCCCCAGGAGAGGAAATGAGGAGGAGGGCCACCCTGGCACCCTCACCAAGGAGGCTAGATCCCTGAGAACCCCCAAATGAGGCTGGTGCCTGTCTCTCTGCACTTAGGGGGCCAGGACATCTTCATGACAGAGGAGCAGAAGAAGTACTACAATGCCATGAAGAAGTTGGGCTCCAAGAAGCCCCAGAAGCCCATCCCACGGCCCCTGGTGAGTCAGGCTCTCAATTCGGTGGGAGTGGGGAAGATCTGCCCAAAGTGGGTGCTGGGAAGCCCCCACACCACAAGACCAACTATCGGGGCCTCTTCACAGTCTTTTGGTGCAACCTGGGGCCCTTGGCCTGTCCAGGGAAGGAGGGACCTCCAGTCATGCACAGGGGCCTCAGTCTCAGGGAGATAGAGGGGAAGGCATGAGACAGCTGTGGGAGCGCAGGAACTTCTGAGTGAGGCCCCTCCTCCCCCACAGTGCTGCAGGCTTTCCCCGGGGAGGGCTGCGCAGCCCCTGGTAACCTCATCCTTGGAACTTCCTGAGGTGTAGAGTCCCCAGGCGGCCGGGGCCTGGGGGTGGGTGGTGCTGGGTTCTCTGCTAGGCTGACTCCCTTGGCCAGATCAGGCCAACACACACCCATGTGTGTGTATGTGTGTGTGTGTGCTGGAGCAGGATGAGGGCAATACTTAGGTAACTCAGGTGAAAGTGTTAGTCACTCAGTCATGTCCAACTCTTTGTGACCCCACAGACTATAGCCCACCAGGCTCCTCTGTCCATGGGATTCTCCAGGCAAGAATACTGGAGTGGGTTGCCATTTCCTCCTCCAGGGGATCTTCCTGACCCAGGGATCTGACCCAGGTCTCCTGCATTGCAGGCAGATTCTTTACCAGCTGAGCCACCAGGGAAGCCTAGGTTACGCAGGTGATGGTACCTAAATCATTAGCTTGTAAGTGGCAACCTGTTTTTGCATCCAGTTCATCCATGTCATCTGACTCTTTCCTGTTCTCCATGCTCTGGTCTAGGTTAGAAGTGTGTGTGTGTTTTCAATTATTTATAATCATCTCTCTTCCCCAAAATGGGTAAAGAATCTGCCATCCCCAGATGGTAAAGAATTTGCCTGCAATGTGGGAGACCGAGGTTCAACCCCTAGGTTGGGAATATCCCCTGGAGAAGAGCATGGCAACCCACTCCAGTAGTCTTGCCCGGAGAATCCAATGGACAGAGGAACCTGGCGGGCTACAGTTCATGAGGTTGCAAAGAGTCAGACATGATTGAGTGACTAACAGTTTCCCCAAAATAATGTTACAATTCAAGACACACATATATATAGTCAATGGAATAAATAAAACAAATTCCATAGAAAGAATGGAGAAATTTTGTTAGCCTGAGGGCTGAGACAGTTTCTAGAGCTGAACTTTAGATCTGACCTTGAGCCTTCAGACAGTGGGAACAAAAAGAGAAGCTTGATGAACAATGGACTGAGGAAACTTGGGGTAAGAGAAGTCCTTTCCTGAAGTGCCATGACAGATGGTGTCTGGGACAAGGAGCCTGGGGCTGGGCCTGGAAGCCCAGGGAGCTTTCAGCAGGGAGCCAGGCTGGCCAGCCTCCTGCCTTTTTCCCCTCCCCGTGACAGTCTGCGGGCATTGGACGCCCCTGCCCCAGAGGGTGGAGTAGGAGGGTGGGTGGTCTGGGCTGAGAGGCAGCGAAGGAGGCCTGCTAGCCTGTCTGAGGCCCCTGCTGAGCGTGTCCTTTGGCCTTCCTTTCAGAACAAGTACCAGGGCTTCATATTCGACATTGTGACCAAGCAGGCCTTCGACGTCACCATCATGTTTCTCATCTGCTTAAACATGGTGACCATGATGGTGGAGACAGACGACCAGAGCCCTGAGAAGGTCAACATCTTGGCCAAGATCAACCTGCTGTTCGTAGGCATCTTCACAGCCGAGTGTATCTTCAAGATGGTTGCCCTGCGCCACTATTATTTCACCAACAGCTGGAACATCTTTGACTTCGTGGTCGTCATCCTCTCCATCGTGGGTGGGTATGCACATCAGCTGGGCAGAAAAGGCCTCCCCAGGCCAGGCGTTTCGCTCCCTCCAGCCCCTGATCTGTACTCGGTGCCAAGTACACCAGCTTTCTGCATTCTTTGCTCCCTACAGTCCTTCCTACCCCACCCCCACGATCACACACACACACACACACACACACACACATCTGGGAAGGCCACTCAGGCCAAGGGGCCAGCTTGGCAGAGGAGCCAATAGTCCCTCCTGGTCCCACCCTCACTGAGGCCCTAGGACACAGCTCTCTGTTTGGAGAGCTTCGAGGGTGAGTCTAGGAAAGGGAATGGGGCCTTCAGGGGTTCCCTGCCTTCCCAAGGGAAAACCTTCAAGCCCAAGGAAGAGTCTCCAGAGTTGGGAGGCCAGTGGCCCTCTAAAGTAGAAGTTAACCCTGGAGATGGACATTCTGGAGTTGAGAATTGCCACCTGGCCACCCTGGTGTGTGCCAGGCTTCTCAGACATCACTTGCCTCATGCATTTCACCATATAAAGTCAGCACCAAGGCAGGGAAATCATTCAACTAGGGAGAAGCAGAGATAGGAATCCCACATAGTCTACTCAGGCTGATACAACAAAAATAGCAGACTGGGAAACTCACAAACAACCGAAATCTACTTCTCACAGATTTGGATGCTGGAAGTCCACGAGGAAAGCACCAGCATGATCAGGTTTTCTGCTGAGGGTCCTTTTCCTGGCTCACAACCCACACCTTCTTGCTGTGTCCTCACAAACTGGAAGGGGCCAGAGAGCTCCCTGAGCCGCTTCTCTAAGGGCACTAAGCCCATTCATTCGGGCTCCACCCTCATGAAATTAAGCCCCTCCCATGGTTCCACCTCCCAATACCATCATCTTTGAGGGGGGGAATTTCAACAGATGAACTCAGGGGGAGGCAGAAACATTGAGAACAGAGCACACGCCCGTATCTGTTTGACCTCAGAGCCTTCCTTCTTTAAAGAACAGTGTTATTAAGATATACTTTACATAACACAACACCCACCCTTTCAAGTGTACAGTTCAGTGCTTTTAAGTATAGTCACATGCCTGTGCAACCATCATTATGCTCTAATTTTAGAATATTTCCCTTACCCCCAAAAGAGACTCTGTACCCACTGAGCTCACCATTTTCCCTCTCCCTACCTGCTGGCGGCTCAGTTGGTAAAGAATCCGCCTGCAGTGTAGGAGACCCTGGTTTGATTCCAGGGTCAAGTAGATCCACTGGAGAAGGGATAGGCTACCAGCTCCAGTATTCTTGGACTTCCCTTGTCGCTCAGCTGGTAAAGAATCTGCCCACAATGCAGGAGACCTGGGTTCGATCCCTGGGTTGTGAAGCCCCTGGAGAAGGGAAAGACTACCCACTCCAGTATTCTGGCCTGGAGAATTCCATGGACTATACAGTCCATGGAGTCAGAAAGAGCTGACATGACTGAGCAACTTTCAGAGTCACAGCCAGGCACCCCCTGGCAGCCACTAATCTAAAATTTTGAGGGACTGCCAAACTATTTTCCAAAATGACTGCACCACGTTACAATCCCAGATTCAATGTAGGAGGGTTCCAGTTACTCCGTATCCTCACCAACACTTGTTCCTGTCTGTATTTTTTAATTACAGCCTTGCTAATTGGTATGGAGTGACATCTCATTGAGGTTTTGGTTTGCATTTCCCTGATGACTAATGATGATGAACATCTCTTCACATGTTTATTGGCCATTTTCCTTGGTATATAACAGGAGAAGTATCTTGGAGGAATGTCTGCTCCAATCCTTTGCTCGATTTTTTAATTGACTTAGTTGTGTTTTTATTGAGTTGTAAGAATTCTTTATATATTCTGGAGGCCAGTCCCTTATCAGATACACAATTTGCAGATATTTTCTCCCGTTCTGTAGGTTGTCTTTTCACTTTCATGGTTGTCACCTCTTGAAGCACAGAGGTTTTAAGTCCAATATATCAATACTCTCTTTTGTCACTTGTGTTCAGAGCCCAATCTGGACCCTGCCCCCACAGACCTCTGCCGTGGGATAACCGGCTTTCATCTTGCTGCCATGTATAGCCTCTTCAGTGACTCAGAGGGAAAGGCAGGGGCCAAGAGAGGGGCTGCTGTGGCTAGAGTGATGCGCAGATGTTTAGGAGCTAGGAGTGGGGTCAGGAAATGCTCCAGGAGGTCTCAGGTGGGGATGAGGGTGAGACCATGCCTGGTGGGACTAGAGAGGAGCTTTTCTCTAAAGCAGGTGTCAGGAGCTGGAACGGAGCCCTGAGGGACAGCCTCAAAGGTTCCAGGAAGTGTAGACTATATTCAGGAACTACTGGTCCCAGAGCTTATGTACCAGAGAGGCATGGCTAACAGCTCAACTTGGAGCCAGAGTGTCTGAGTCAAATCCCTGCTTCTCACCGACTAGGTGGCAACTTGGCTAAGTTGCCTCACCTCTCAGTTTCCGCTTCTGGAAAGTGAGGATGATAGTATCAGCTTGCCTCCTAGGGTAACTGGAAGGGGTAAACGGATGTGTGAATTGCTCAGCCCAGTGCTTTACGGACAGTGAACACTTGACACATGTTAGTGAGTGACATTATGATTAGGCTGGTACAAAAGTAATTGCACTTTTGGACTGTGAATTCTAAACCATTATAACGAGGCTCAAACACATCTTTATTCATCAAAATAGGAGCCATTACAATCAACACATTTTTGCCAATGAGAAATGAGTGTTTATTCCTGTTGCACAAAAATCCATGCCTTGGGATTCGACGAACTCTTGGAAAGCATTTTCTGCCTCCTGCTGGTTGTGGAAGTGTTTTCCCTGCAAAAAGTTGTCGAGATGCTTGAAGAAGTGATAGTGGGTTGGTGAGAGGTCAGGTGAATATGGCGGATGAGGCAAAACTTCGTAACCCAAATCCTTCAACTTTTGAAGTGTTGGTTGTTCAGTGTATGGTTGAGCATTGTCATGGAGAAGAACTGGGCCCTTTCTGTTGACCAATGCTGGCTGTAGGTGTTGCATTTTTCAGTGCATCTCGTCAATTTGCTGAGCATACTTCTCACATGTAATGGTTTCACAGAGATTTCGAAAGCTGTAGTAGATCAGGTGGGCAGCAGACCTCCAAACAGTGACCATGACCTTTTTTGGTATAACTTTGGCTTTGAGGAGTGCTTTGGAGTTTCTTCTTGGTCCAGCCACTGAGCTGATCATCACTGGTTGTGATATATAATCCAGTTTTCATCACACATCACAATCCGATTAAGAAATGGTTCGTTGTTGTTGCATAGAATAAGAGAAAAATGACATTTCAAAAGGATGATTTTTTTTTATTTGAGGTCAACTTAAGAGGCACCCACTTACTGAGCTGTTTCACCTTTCCAATTTGCTTCAATGTTGAAAGACTGTAGACTGGTCAGCGTTGAGTTTTGGCAACTTCTCATGGAAGAGGATCAGCTTCAATGATCCTCTCAATTGGTCGTTGTCAACTTCCAATAGCCAGCCACTGTGCTGCTCATCTTCAAGGCTATCGTGTCCTTTGCAAAACTTCTTGAACCATCACTGCACTGTACATTTGTTAGCAGCTCCTGAGCCAAATGTATTGTTGATGTTGCAAGTTATCTGTGCTGTTTTACAACCCATTTTGAACTCAAAAAAGAAAATCACTCAAACATGTTTTTTGTCTAACATCATCTCCATAGTCTAAAAAAAAAAAATAAACAGCAGGTAATAAGTCATCAAAAAAAAAAAAAAAAAACATAAAGCAAGAAATGCACATTAAAATGATGTAGAACCTAGCCACATCTATTTAAAATGTATTCCAATATCAAATGGCAAATTTCAACAATACAAAAACCACAATTTCTTTTGCACCAACCTAATATATGAGAAGTCTGGAAAGTTCACTTGGGCCAATACGAGACAAGTATATTCCATTCTTTCTTCTATAACTTACATCCATGCTCCTTGAAACTCCAAACCCAGAGTAGTCAGCAGAGTCGGGGTAGGCAGGCCTAGCAGCTAGCAGGGGTGGGAGGGTCACAGGAAGCACCTCAGAGAGGCTGAGTTGTGACAGGTGAGGTGTGAGGAGTGCGCCAACGGCCTGGCCAGTGCCTCTTGTGTTTCAGTGCGCACACGAACCACTTGGACTTGTTAAAACACAGGGGGTCTGGGGCGGAGCTGAGATTCTGCATTTCTGATGAGGGCCCAGGAAATCCCAAGGCTGCTGGTCCTCAGACCACACTCTGAGCAGCAAGGAGCTAAAAGTTCTAGAGTTCTGGTCCAAGCTAGGCCATCAGGGATGCTGAGCAAGTCCGCTGAGGCCCCCAAACCACAATCTGGATAATGGGCCTAGCATGGCTCTGCTGTGCAGGTAGGCTCAGGAGACTAAGGAGCTGAGGGCTGAGAAGACACTTTGCAAAGGATGCAGGAACTGTGGGTCCTTTTCTGGACCATAAATGCAGAAACGGAGACTCAGGTGGGTGAAGGCAGGGTCCTTCCAGGCCCCAGGTGACCCAGGCCTCCACTCCCAGGCTCCTTGCTGTGCAGAGACCCCTCCCAGAGAAGCTGGGCTGGAGGGAGGACAGTGATGCCACCGGTAGCCACAGTCTCCGCTGTTTCCCACAGGCACTGTGCTCTCAGACATCATCCAGAAGTACTTCTTCTCCCCGACGCTTTTCCGCGTCATCCGCCTGGCCCGCATCGGCCGCATCCTCAGGCTGATCCGTGGGGCCAAGGGCATCCGCACACTGCTCTTCGCCCTCATGATGTCCCTGCCCGCCCTCTTCAACATCGGGCTGCTGCTCTTCCTTGTCATGTTCATCTACTCCATCTTCGGCATGGCCAACTTCGCCTATGTCAAGTGGGAGGCCGGCATCGATGACATGTTCAACTTCCAGACCTTCGCCAACAGCATGCTGTGCCTCTTCCAGATCACCACGTCGGCGGGCTGGGACGGGCTCCTCAGCCCCATCCTCAACACGGGGCCCCCCTACTGCGACCCCAACCTGCCCAACAGCAACGGCTCCCGGGGCAACTGCGGGAGCCCCGCAGTGGGCATCCTCTTCTTCACCACCTACATCATCATCTCCTTCCTCATCGTGGTCAACATGTACATCGCCATCATCCTGGAGAACTTCAGTGTGGCCACGGAGGAGAGCACGGAGCCCTTGAGTGAGGACGACTTTGACATGTTCTATGAGATCTGGGAGAAGTTCGACCCGGAGGCCACCCAGTTCATCGAGTATTCGGCCCTGTCCGACTTCGCCGACGCCCTGTCGGAGCCGCTCCGGATCCCCAAGCCCAACCAGATAAGCCTCATCAATATGGACCTGCCCATGGTGAGCGGGGACCGCATCCACTGCATGGACATCCTCTTTGCCTTCACCAAGAGGGTCCTGGGCGAATCTGGGGAGATGGATGCCCTGAAGATCCAGATGGAGGAGAAGTTCATGGCGGCCAACCCGTCCAAGATCTCCTACGAGCCCATCACCACCACGCTGCGGCGGAAGCACGAGGAGGTGTCGGCCACGATCATCCAGCGGGCCTTCCGCCGGCACCTGCTTCAGCGCTCGGTCAAGCACGCCTCCTTCCTCTACCGCCGGCAGGCGGGCAGCAGCGGCCTCTCGGACGAGGACGCCCCGGAGCAGGAGGGCCTCATCGCCTACATGATGAACGAGAACTTCTCCCGCCGCCTCGGCCCGCCCTGCAGCTCCTCCGTCTCCTCCACGTCCTTCCCGCCCTCCTACGACAGCGTCACCAGGGCCACCAGCGACAACCCCCAGGTGCGGGCGTCTGACTACAGCCCAAGCGAGGATCTCGCAGACTTCCCCCCAACCCCCGACAGGGACCGCGAGTCAGTCGTGTGAGCGCAGCCCAGGGAGGGGGGCGCCAGCGCAGAGCATCGTGGCAAACCCAAGGGCAGCCGCTGGGCCGTCCGACCTTTGCTTTGGGCTTCGGGAGTGAGAGAGGAGCCTGGCCCTGTGGACCGACCAGGCAGTCCTGTGCACCGCGCCGATGGCTGGAAGCACTTGGCCGAGCTGTCCGTCTGGGGTTACCAGTCCTGGGGGGCCGGGTCTGGTCGGGCAGCGCCCTGGGGCTCTGACCACCACCTCCGTCCCAGCTGCTGAGACAAAACGCGAAACCAAGACTATGTTGTGAATGGGCTTTCATACATTTATTATATTTGATATTTTTTTACTTGAGCAAAGAACTTTTTTTTTTTCATGGATGGATCAGCAGCGATTCACACTGCCTCTTCCTAACTCTGAACAAGAGTGTCTGTGGAGTTGCTGGGGCCCTGCTGTCAATGCAAAAGTGAGATCCAGTGTGGGTCCCACGGGCCTTCACTGCCTAGGGGCGGGCAGAAAGGGGGTCCCCCGCCGCTTGGGCTGAGGTGCCAGGCGGGCTGAACCCTTTCCCATACAGACGTGCGCGCACTTTCACACTCACAGAGTGTGAGACTCCTGGACTCCCCGAGGTGAGCGGCCCCCCACAGGTGGGATTCTTGTCAGCCAGGGCTCACTCACTGCCCCATTTCCCCCTGTATGTTTATGCAGGCCACCCTGGAGTCAGGCCTATAAATACAACAAGCTTCCGGAAGAGAGTGGCCGGCTCCCAGGGCTTGTCCTCGGCACTGACGCTGCCTTTCTTCCCTGTAGAGCTCGGCCTCTGTTAGAGTATCAACATCAAGGGAAGGGCCTGAGGGAGGCCATACGTCCTGCCACCCGGCTTGTCCATGCTGCGCAGCCTGGCTGGCCCTGCCCCAGCAAGAGGAGGCTGAGCCCGTGGGGTTGGGGTGAAGGACCCGCTCCACAGCCCCCAGCACGGTGCCCACCAGCCCGCGTGGAGAATGGAATCTGCTGTCATCACCCAGGCTCGCTCTCCAGACCTTTCTGCCTCTGCCCAGGGCTGAGGGGGTGCCCGTGTGGACCCCAGCTTCAGCAGCACAGGAGTGGGGAGGGCTACCCAGGCCGCGTGCACGGAAGGGGCTGCAGGACGCTCAGGAGGGGAATGGACCCCAGGTCTCCTGGGAAAGGGAGTCGAGTGACCCTGGACCAGCGCCCCTCCCCCCGGCCCCGTTCAGCCCGGGGTCCCGGTGGCACCGCACTCGGGACCTCCTGGGGCAGGGTCCAGGCTGCCCACGGGTCTTGTGAGCAGGCCTTTTCAGGGAAAAATACTTTTTCTAGTCCAATTACCACCACCCTCCCCACCCTTCCACCCCCTCCCCCCTTCAGCTGCTGACAATCCTACTGAGCATATGCAAATCTTTCCATGTAGAGAACTGTCACCCTGAGAGTGACAGTGGTGGCTGGTGGAGGCTGTGCAGGCAGGGGCTCGGCTGCCCAAGTCCACTCTCCAGCAAAGCCGCCCTCCACCTGGCGGCCACCTCACAGGCCGCCTCTCGGGGCAGCCCAGGAAGCCAGAAGCTGGCTGTCCTAACCTACCTCGCCGAGCCGTCGGGGGGCCGGCTGTGGGGAGCTGAGGGGGAGCCGCCAGCGGCGAGTCAAGTATTACCGTTTCTTCCTGTCACTCGGGTTCCCTTGGTGGCAGCCCCAGCCGCCCCCCCGCCCCGCCCCCAGTGATTTCTCTCATGTTCCCTTGAAGTCTGGCGTGGGACGTGGTTTTAACTGTCCCAGCACCACTTCTCTGAGTGGAAATCTTATTTTTGTAGCTCTCTGTGCTGTGCTCTCAAGGCTGGGAGAGGTGTGTGCCCTCCGCGACGCCTGGCACCCTGCATGGGCAGGGAGGCCGGCCGGGCTGCAGGCCCAGCTGACCGGAAGGAGGCCGGGGCTGTGTGTGGGGGGACAGCCTGGGAGCCTGAGGCGGGTGCCAGGCCGGCCACTGACTGCAGCCCGTGTGGCCAAGGGCGGGGCCGAGCTAGACCGACTCCTGAGCTTGTACGTGTCTCTCACTGCTTTTTTCCAGAACTGCACAGTGACCAGCAGGTGGGAGCAGGAGGGGAGGACACAGGAGGGAGGGAGAAGCACCAAGTGCCAGCCGTTGTCTGAACCACCCAAGCACTTCTCACCAAACTTCGTGCATAAATAAGATGCATATTTTTAAAACAACCAATAAATGGCTTACAGGACCTGGTCTGGACTCTGTCCATTTTTTTAAGTATAGTTGATTTACAAATTGATAATATTGTGTTAGTTTCTGGTGTACAGAAAAGTGATTCAGTTGCACATACACACATATATTTGAGGGGGGGGGACAGATACCTGTAAAGTTGGTGTGTGAAGAGACATGACCCCCAGTGTCATCAAATCCAGCCTTTGTTTTTGCCTCTCCCTGTGCCCTTCAACTTTATTCAGTGGAGATAAACTTCCTTGGTCCCAGATGAAAACCAGGCCAGCCCTGGGGCTTTTCCACTCAATTCCTGGTGAAACAGCAGCCTTCAGCCACCCTGCATTGTAAATACCACCTTAGCTTCCTTCTAAGCACGTCCAGTCCCATGACAGTCAGAGATGGGGTGGCTGGACAGGCACCATGCGGGCATCTTCAGGCTTGCGGGGCCTTTTCCCGGTGGTCTCCCAGCCCTGGGGATGCACTCTTCTGGGTGCCCCATGACCCCTTCTTTGCCCATGGGTACCCGTGGGTCCGTTCAGCCTCTTCCTGCCAAGCCCCTGGACTCCCCCAGTAGCCCTGCGGTGGCGGCTTACACAGGCCCTCTCCGCCTGCTGCCTCTGCCCCACCCACACTGGCCTGCCGCCCGGCCCTGGCAACCCCGCGCTCCACAGCCACCGCCAGAGCAGCTGGCCCACAACCCTGCACCCAGATCCCAGAGCTGGACTCAGATCCCTGTCACTGGTCCACCTGAGTTTTCTCAGCCCCAGGGGGGCCCAGTCCTCACTTGGAAAACAAACTTACGGTCACCAAAGGGGAAAGGTGGGGGTGGAGAAGGATAAGTTAAGAATTGAGGATTAACCTAGACACACTACTGGGCTTTCCTGGTGGCTCAGACGGTAAAGAATCCACCTGCAACATGGGGAACCCGGGTTCGATCCTTGGGTTGGGAAGATTCCCCTGGAGGAGGGCATGGCAACCCACTCCAGTATTCTTGCCTGGAGAATCCCCATGGACAGAGGAGTCTGGTGGGCTACAGTCCATAGGGTCGCAAAGAGTCAGACACGACTGAGCGACTCAGCACAGCACACTACTGTATATGAAATAGATGATCCACAGGGACCTGCTATAGAGCACAGGGAACTCTACTCAGTACTCTGCATTAGCCTATACAAGCGAAGGATCTGAAAGAGAATGGATGTATGTACATGTATAACTCAATCACTTTGCTCTGCACCCGCAACTAACAGTAACCTAACGCAACACGGTAAATCACCCAACCCTCCAATGGAAGACACTGGCCTGGGAGGTGGCAGGCTGATCCAGAGGGGGGCAAGAGGGGGCCTTGCGGTCACGCGCCGCCGCAGCTGTCACCCGGCCGCTCTGGGGCGCGGCAGGGCTCCAGGCTCCATGAGGGACGGACGCCGGCTCCTGTGTCAGAGGGAAGGCATGCGGCCCGGGATCTCAGCCCTTGGCAGGGACAGAGATGCTCCTGGACAGACGTCAGCTCTCAGCCTGGGGCCGCGGCCCTGGCGGCTCCCTGCCCCGTGCCGGCCGCTCTTCCGCCTCAGCCCTGACGGCCACGGGACTCGGTGCCTGGAGGCTGGGAGGGGCAGGGAGACAGCCTGGCACCCAGTCCTCCAGGTGGAGATGGAGCGGGCAGCGGCCGAGAGCCAGGAGACGCCAAAGGCCACCTCTCCTGGGCTGGGGGTGCCACAGGACTGGACACCCTCCAGCGCTCTGTCCGGTGTGGATGGGCTCCCTAAGGGCTGGGGAAGGCCAAGCCAGCGCTTCCTACCACCCTCTCCAGCCCGGCCCGTGCCCGGCACAGACAGGAGCCCAGGGACGTTAAAACAAGAGACACCCCACCAACCCAGCTCTTCAGTATCCACCAGGTTCGCCTGGACCCTCTCCTCCATTTGAACCCTTCCCGCCTTTCTGTCCTATGCGCCCCTTGGCCCCGCTTCTCAGCCACATTTCTACCTTCCATTCCTTATTCTTCTGGAAGGAGGTCACCTGCGTGGAGGGCATGGGCAGATTCACACACAGGGTAGCCTTAAGGCACAGTAGCCAGTGTCCGTGTTGAGGAGGGGGCAGGTGTGCCCACAGGGAGATGCCTGAAATCCTAAGACTGAACCTCAGGCTTCCTGTCCCAACCACCGTGGACCACGATCCTTGGGATGGGGGAGGCAGACAGAGCAGGGGTGGGGGGCAAGGGCCTTGGTTTAGAAACGACACTCAAAGGCTGGCAGCTGCCAACCTCTGTCTGGGGGGGACCCCAAGAGGCCCCCACCGGAGGCACCTGTCTCCTGGGGGTGTCCCAAGTCAGTGTAAACAGCAGGGGAGGGGGCTGGGCCAGCCCAAGCCCAGCACGTACAATCACCACTCTCACAAGCACTTCCTCCCATGCCAGCTCACGGGGCTGGCATCCACGGTCAGCTGCCAGGCACCTGCTGCCAGAGAGAAAAGGCCCATCACCCCAGCCTCCATGGCAGCATGAGCCGGCTCGGGTTCCAGAGAGGCATGCAAGTCGCAGCAGAGCCCCCTTGCCCGGACGCGGGCCGAGCGGCGGCGGTCCATCCCGTCCTCCTGCCCCGCCGTCCTCTGTGTCTGGCCGCTGTGGGCTGAGTCTGCCTCCAGGATTTGCTCTTGGAGCCGTATCTCCTGGGGACCATCTGTCTGCCACTCACCCTCTCGGGCTGCACTTCCTGGACAGCCAGGGGCCAGGCTGCTTCTGTGTGTGGGGCCAAGGGAGGTTCTGCAAGGACAGAGGGCAGGGAGGGCTTGACCAAGAGGAGAGGCCGGCTCGATGGAGATAATTGGGCCTCCTGTATCCTGTATCAATCCATCACATTTATGGTCTTCCCTCCAGACAGGAGACAATGAGGAAATGACAAAAGCTAATAAGGCCAATAAATGAAGGGTAATGGAATAACCAGGATGTGCGGCCCTGAGCCCCAGAGCCTGGAGCAGGCTGGGCCCCGCCCCTCC